TAAGGCAACAGTGAAACCAAAGACAAAGATGTGCACTCTTAAAAATTCTTGTGTCTAGTTTTGAGTAACGTACATCTTTACTCAATATTCGTTAACAACCCACACCCACCACATAATGTTTGTGTTATGTTCATGGACAACTGCTCCATATTTGCACTGTTAATCATTATTCAGTCCTTTAAAATGTGCAAGAGTGTTTCATTTAGTCAACAAGGAAACACAAGTTCCATCTTGTCTCATTTCGGTTTGGATTTCTGAGTATTTTATTGCCGTAAATGTCATTTTTCAGGTCTAAATTTAGAGCTTTGTGTGTCATCTGTTGTGAAATGATATTGGTGTGAGATTTAAGCGTCGCCTGTCATTCCTACGTAGTGAGGGAATGTTTGTGTGCGGTCAGGTTACAGACAGGGTGTCAAACCGGGTATCTGGAGTTGGAGAGTCTGCAGGTTTTCACTACGTCAGCTTACAAAACAACCCATAATTCCACGTTACAGTCGATGATACAGCCGTAAACTCAAAATCCGATGTTGCTAACCAATATAAGACGCTAAGTGACGCTCGACACACTCACACATACAGCTCAGTCTCCTCTTACAACAAACCCAGATTCCCTTTGTCCATCTGGGCTGTAGAGACCTGCAACTGGGGTGGTCTGGTCCCCTCTCTGTCAGGTTTTACTGGTTACGGCGGCTTGAATCCCTCGCGGTTTTATCACGTCAGCATTAATTAATCATCTGTTTCCCTGCTAACCTAATTCATCAGCGTGTATTGTGTTGTATTTGCTTTCTCACGTACCAGCAGCTGCTTCACAGTTGCAGTTGTTTTAGCTGGTAAATTCTGCGCCACTTAAGCTGCCAAATGCCCAAAAGTAAGCGTCTGTGGTTGTACTGGGAAGCTCCCAGTGGTTAAAAGCAAGAGACTGTGGCTGTCGTAGTGAGCTTCCAGGTGGGAATCTCTATAATGGCGTTGATGTGAAGCAGGGTGTTGCTGGGAAAGAGAGTGTGTGCTCAGCTAATCTCTCCTGGATAAACAAACACCAAAAAAGAAGCTTGCACCTTAAACGCTGCTGTAGGCCGCAAAACAAACCCAGGATTCAGCATCTAAATTCATGAAATGTGAGCGTGCATGAAATCGATTGCCGCTGTTGTGTTTTGTCATAAATCATGTTAAAAACGCCGTGCAGAGCGTGCTGTGGGAGCAGGGAAGCATTTGGCATGGTGCAGGGGGAAAACTTCCAGAGAGGGAGCAAAGGAGCATGGGATTAAAAATAAGAAGTCTGTTTTAACACGAAGCTGTTGCACGTTTCACAACACATGATGGGGAATTACCAGCAGGTTCAGCGTGAGGCAGGTGAGGTTTGGTTGTCTCTTGTGGACAGATTCTGTTAACCTTTTGCACATCATCACTTTCCACTTTATATTCTATATATTCAGAAATCTGCATTGAAACAAGATAAGACTTTCCTTTTTATCATCTTTCTCTCACACGCCAACCAAACATTTACGTTCATATCCGTGATTTGTTCTTATTTTGTTGGTATATAAGTTATATATAGTTTTATATATTTGCTCATTTAGGTAACAACAACACAAAGGACATTTTTAATTTGAGGAACATAAAAAAGCCTTGGATATCTTATAATGAGATCAGTTTGTTATAGTGTTTGGATGATTATATTTCACCCAGGAGCAGATTTGGGTGGTTAAGTGCATTTAGAGTTGACTTCTCATAAATTTTCTGTTGCTGAATGCTGAATTGATCCTATACTTTATAAGCTATATCCTCTTTTGTGTTTTTCGCTGGCTGGCATTGCATCAGCAGAAGAAGTGTCTGAGCCTGAGCTTGCAGGGTGGCAACCCTCCAGTATGTGTGAAACAAGTGAACTGTTGGAAATTCGAGTGTTTGGCAGCACCATTAATCATACTAATTAAAAGAGGCAGTGGAAGAGTCGCTGGTGTAAATCAGCAATATGAATAAAATAAAAACGCATTTGTTCTTTTTGCTTTCTTCTGCTAAACAAGCAGATTTATGGTTCCTACCAAACCAAAGCTCTAGTCTCTATCCAAACTCTCTCCTTGGCTCTTCGGTGTGTTTTTGGTATTCACAGCAGCTGTTCTCTTCATATTTCTACGGCTCTGATCAAACTACCCCTTTGTGGTGTCTGTTTGGGTATTAAACCGTTTAATGTCGCCTAAATACCTCCAGTATTTGAATCTCCTGCCACAGATCGAGAATGTGATACCTCCTGGTCTTCCTCAGGAAAGCGACGCAGACACACTGTGAGGAGCTTTAGCCGCTGGGACGTTTCCTTCCTTTGTGCGTTACTGTGTTTAACCAGCCCATCTGGTTTGGTTGTCCCCTGGCATGTTCTCCTCTTTGTACCAGCCTGTTAATGCAAATCTCAAATTATCTGACTCTCGTGGTACTTTTATGTCTCTAACCAAACTGTCCTCGCTCGCTCGGCTCGTCCATGTCTACGTATAAAGTTTGTTGACCCAACTTAAAGCAATAGTTACACACTCTGGGAAATATGAGTTAGATTAACACCACGTTAACGTCTGTACATTAAAGTTAATATGAAGCTACGGCCACCAGCAGGTTAGCTTAGCTTAGCATAAAGTCTGGAAACAGTGGGAAACAGCTAGCTGAGCTTTGTTCAAAGGTAACAAATAGCTAAGCTATGGGAATGGTATCGATCTCCCCATCTAACTAGTGTATTCCCCAAAATGTTGACATTTGAACCTCTTTAGTAGATTTATCTCCTTGGATTTAACTTTAAAACGAATAATAACCTGCAATTCTGCCCTTTTTGTGTCTGTAATGAAGCGCTGAATAGATGTTTGATCACTTAGTGAGATAGAAAGTGAAATATGAATTAGTTCCTGCTTCTTAAATGTGAGAAATTTCTGCTTTTTGCTGTCATATATGAAAGTAAACTCAGAATTTACAGCTTTCAGACTGATGTATAAAACTCAAACAGTATGTAAACCCCTCAGGATGTTCATGCCAACACCTCTGGCAATGAAACTGGGGGGATTTTTAAAGGCAGGCAGTTAAGCAAGAGTAAGCTGAGTTCATATCAGATTGAGGATATGCCTGCTTTGTGTGGAGGACGGCGTTAAAGCGCTCATAAGAGACAGGGATTGTTTGGGTTCAATAAGATCAATGTAGGAAATGGGTCTTCATATCTGTGCAAACTGGAACATTTGAGTCTTTGAGAGCTTAGATTAGAAAGGACAGTTTAAAGCTCGTTGAGTCGTTATGGTTTTTAAATCACAGGTTTCACTCTCAGAAATCAGGCTCTGAATCCAAAAACCTGTAGCCTCACCTCCGTCCTCGCTGGCTGGATGAACACCAAACCTAAAATAACTAATAACTCAGACACGCTTCCTCAAATGTTTTCCACTTTATAACGTCAGCAGTCATTTTGTCAAAGAAAAACACAACATTTACTGTAAATATTCTGTTTTACATCTTACCGGGAACTGTTCTTGGTAGCGTGGAATCACTTTCACAAGAAATATGACACATACTACGTACTGTTTATACACACTTTCAACTGGTTTTCTCAGCGTGTCTCTGCATGATATATACAAATAATAAATTACTGATCCAAACAAGGTTAGAAAAGACAAAACAAACATTAAATATAAGTAACCATATAAAACACAGCAACACCAAGCAAAGATTTATATAGATATAGATAAATACGTTCTATGAAACAAACCTTATTAAATGTTGAAATGAAAACATGAAGGGCACAATGTGTAAAAGCAGTGCTGTCAGTCATCTGTAGACATTTATAAAGATCCTATTTCAGAGCAGAACTTGAGCTTGTCACATATAATCACTGTAAGGAAAATGCCCTGTAGAACTTTTTTCGGGGAGTTCTAACTTATAATGAGAGGGTTATTATCCAGTATCTCTAAATTATACTTTTTTAGGCTTTTTATGATGGTTTTGTTGGAGGAGCTGCATGTTTCCATCGGTGGCGATCTCATTTAGGAACAGAACTGCACACACGAGCGCTATTAGAAGAAAAAAAAACCCAGCCCGATCCGGATCGATTCGAGTCTCCCCGTCAGCATCTGAAGCCTTCGTCGACCACTTCACATGGTTCTTGTCTTCCAAAATGGCCACCTCCTCGCTGCGTTCCCTCCACGGGGGGAAAACGCTGAGGCCAACGGGTAATTTTGTGGCTCTGCCTGTTATCCTCGTTTGGCCCGGGCTGAGCCAGCCTGTGTGTGTGTGTGTGTGTGTGTGTGTGTGTGTGTGTCTTTGTATCGGTGCAGTTTGAAACATTACATTTCAAACTCAGGGCTCGAATCGTACGACTGCTGTTGCTTATAAACTGTGAATATCAGTCACAGAAACCTTTAACGCTCTACAAAGAGGCTCCATCACTCAAACTGTCCTCCTCTTCCTCCTCTTCCTCCTCCATCAGTTCGTCCATCATCGTTTTTCTGCCGACTTCCACTCAGAATCCACCTGCTTCCTCTCTGAGGGGATATTTTAAGGTGCTCGGGGCAGATATTTTTCTCTCCGATAAGGACGGCTTGATAAGTGCCAGAGGAGGAAGAGGAAGAGGAGGAAGAGTTGAGTGACGGTGTTGTAAGACGACAGGAAATATCAGGGCAGCTCCACCCTGATAGAAGGAGATGTTCCTCTTTCTCACTTCTTGTTTCAGCAGTTAGTAAACACAATCAGCTGTTTGTCACCGAGCTGTGACCCCGATACGGCGGCAGAAAACCTTCTTTTATTTTCTTTCTTGAAATGTTGAGATTTGTACACTTTGTACAAAAAAGGTGTTTCCTCAGTTTCAGTTCCTCTCTGTGGTTTTTCTCAGAAATCTGAGGTGAAATGAAACAAACAACATTAAAAAAACAACAGAAACAAATCAGATAATTGTCAGAATCTTGAATGCGGTTCCAGAAACTTTATCCCAGTTCCTCCATTTGTTTGTGCTGTGTATTAAAAGAAAGCCTCTTCCTCACCTGCAGCCACCATGAAGAAGGGCCAGAACGGCTCCAGCTGGACCAGCGAGCGGAGCCGGATGTTCGGGGGGAGCGTCCAGAACGCGCTGCCTTCATCCTCTACAACCTCCACTCCCTCCTCCTCCTCCTCCCTGGCCTCCGCCTCCCAGGTGACATCCATCGACGGAGTCAGCTTCTCCGAGGGAGACCTGCTGCTTCAGGTAACTGCGCACAAACGATGGACAGCAGACCGTCTCAGAGAATGAAGTTAGTGAAATGATGAAATAAATATTGTCTTCGGCCTTCAGGCGCTGAACGGCTTCGTGTTGGTGGTGACGGCCGAAGGCTACGTCTTCTACACATCCCCCACCATCCAGGACTTCCTCGGCTTCCACCAGGTAAACTGATGATCAGGAACAGTAGTCTGACATATATATGTATGAGAACAGAAGCTGTTACACTCCGAGCTGTGATCACAAACAATGATCGCAGCTGCTGTTGGACATATTTTTGTGTGAAGCTGTTTTTTTCTGTGGTTTCTTTTCAAAAACACGCTGAAAGTTGAGCAACTGTGCAATGTTGCCAAACATCTCCCGACGCTTGTATCATCATATTTCTGCCCTGCTGGGAAATCATCAATGCTTCATCGCAGTTTGTTTAGGCAATTGAGAAACTCGCGGCCAAGTTTTGTTCTTAATAGATGTTGCTTGTATATTATATGTTGTTTGTATATCTGGAGTTTGTAACAAAAATAATTTCCCCCTGGGATTATTAAAGTATTTCTGATTCTGATTCTAAGAAAGAAAATGCAGCAGCATAAAATGTGAAGCTGTAATTATCTGTCCCACAAATGTGCACGGAAATAACTCTTCACTGCTCGACAGCCTGTTTCCTTCTCACTCTGATCTTCCTCTTCATGAAACATCCTTCAATGGAGCATCCTGCTGCCCACTCTGTACCTGCTTCCTACCGTCCACAGAGCCGTTGATCTCAGTTCATGCCTGTGCAGAGACCCGACTCCATCACAGTGAACACGTTGTTCTCTTCTGTCACATGCAGCGACTCTGGTCTGAACTCTCCCTGTGGTGCATCCTCTGTGCATCAGTGGTCTGATAGCTGCCCCAAAGAGCTTCACATTTATGACAATAAACACACAGAGATGTCATGAAAAGACAGTTTTTAATCTGCAGTGCATCAGTGTCACAACAGTATAATAACATTTGAATGTGTCTACAGTTACCCAAGCAATGCACAAACAAAATAAGAAACCAAAATTATTCCCAACAAGACAAACTGATGTCAGCTACTGAAACTGACAGCCGAGTGGGTTAATAATAACAACTTATATAACTTACATAATAAAGGTACAACGTGCTTTACAGTAAAAACAAATAACAAAAGTAGATCAGATTCAGATCACAACATACAAACAAAATAAAGGAAGTATTGTATCAAACAGCAGCAGTTAACAAACACCCATAAAAGAAGAGATTTAAAGGAAGATCCACTTTAAAACAGGGATGATGACTTGACTCAAAATAACTGAAAATGAAGGTAAAGTAGGAAATAAAAATAAAATCGTGAACAGAATTTATAGTTAAAGGAGCCAAAACCTGCAGAAACATCTGTATGATGCTTTACACCTGAAGTTGACGCTCTCAACTGTTCCTCCAGATATAAAATATACATTTTATTATTTATTCAGATTACTCAATTTCAGTACTTTAGTTAATAATTATGTTTTATCGACTTATAAAACCTTTCAGCTTAGGTTGTACTGCAGAGGTTGAAGGGTTGTGAGGAACATTTTACAAATCCAGTCCAACGTGCTCAGTGACGGACACACAGACAGGTGAAACACACGTGTGTGTGTGTGTGTGTGTGTGTGTGTGTGTGTGTGTGAGAACTGAACTACACTGTTGGCTGTGAACTCTTGACTTGTAAACACATCCGTTGAACCGGGGTTAAAGATGTCTGCAGTGGGGGGGTGCCTGGGGAGAGTGCATGTGGTAAACAGCACACACACATACACACTTATACACACCACAGCTTTTCCACAACACAATCTGAAGTCAGGATGTTAATCAGGGCAGGAAACAGGCCGCAGCCACCACTGAAGACCCAAATTCACCCGCTGCTTTGACTCTTAGCGTTATAAACTTTATTTAAAGAGCAGCTCCAAACGCAGCTCTAGAGTAGATCAAATAGAGTGGAGATAAAGGGCAGACAGGGGAAGATCACACCAGGGATAAAAGAGGAAAGCTGTGAGGAGATTTGGATCAGGTGATCTGGATGTGTCTTTGTTCCGACTGTAACCAGCAGCAATGTGACCTGCCGCTGTTACCTGTGGTGGTAAAAAGCTACATTTCACATCGCCTAGGAATCCTCTCGTGCTCACAAATCCTGTCTTCAGGGTTGTTTTGAACTCGATGAAACCCGGTGAGCAGGGTGAAGCCATTTTTCAGCACCGTTGACAAAGGAGGGTTTTGTGTGGGGTTTGTTTGCAGACGGTTGAGGAGCAGAAAGAAGCCCGGAGGCGTGGTTCTCTCAGCACCTCGGTCCTTTAGCACATCGAATGTTCTGTGTTTCCAGCCTGAAGTCAGTGGCATTCATCCAGTCTACGGTCCGTCAGGGCTGAGAGCATTGTTCGCACCGTGTGTGTGTGTGTGTGTGTGTGTGTGTGTTTTACGCTTGCATCATCGGTCGTGAATGCAGCTCCTCCAGTGCAAACACTGGAGCTCGGCAAGCAAATGCTCCCTCTGAACGACGGCTGATCTGCAATGTTTGTGCCAGATACTTTAATGCACCGACACAAAACAACAGCCGAAAACTAGAGCTGAGAGACAGCCATCGATAGTACTATTATAATACTTATACTAACAATAATAGTATTAATACTTCCTCCTGCTCCTCCTGCTGGCTGATAGCACTCATGCTATAAGTACTACTGCTACTTTTCCTTCTATTACAGCTGCAGCTACTACCTGTATTACTACTACAGCTAGCTGCTACTCACTTATTAACATAAATAAAGCAGTTTTTTAAGCATATATGGCAGATTGTTTCTAAAATTGGCTGTTGCTAAAACAAATGTACTAATTTCTTTATCAATCTTGCTTCAATAATTGTAAATTAGTCTAAAGTAAATGCTAAATGTCAGCATCGTGTTAAAAAAACATTTCTACCTTTCCTTCCGCCTTTTGTTGGTGTTCTCACGGTCTCATTCTCAGCACATTAAATCAGTTTTACGAAGCAGAATTGTTTTAATAAAACCACCTAAACCGAAGGGAAGGTGAGCTGGAGAGGCAGGGAGGTCGTGATGGGGCACTCTCAGTCTCTTTTGTGACTTGGTTTTCATTCTTGTCTTCTGCACACAAACTTTTATGTTCTTTTTCTTGGGAGTGGAGAGAAATGTGTGTTTGAGTTCTGCTGTGGGAAGTCCTGTATGACCCTCAGCGTCAACATTTATGTTTGTGCTGCCAAGACGGGCGCTGCAGCCAAGACTCCCAGGCTAATATACCCATGCTGACTGGAGATCAGCCAAACAGCTTATGGGACAGAATGAGTCAGTGGTCTTGGAAAGCCGCTCGCCTCAGCTTTCTTCTCCTCCCCCTCTTTAAATAGAGAGGTTGGGGGAGTGCGTTTATGATTATTAATGAACTGAAGTCTTTTCAGATTAATAGAGGGGAAGTGCGGTTTAGAACAACATCAATCAAACTGATTATTATCATCTGAGATGTTTGCATATTTATTGTTTGGTATGTTGACAATTTGCAGTTATATTTTGTTGTTTTAGGAGAGCCATGGCAACGGCTGGGCATGCGTCTTGTTACTTACTCTTTTTGTTGCTGAAATCATTGTATGGTGTCTGATTAGATCTGATTTTAAGGAGCCAAATTGTTCATGGATGCGATGAAAGGAACTCACGCTCTTGATATGAATGATAAATAAATGTCCTTTATTCCTTCAAATTATAACTTTAAGTCCTGTCCTTAATTGCTCCTGCAATCATCCAAGTACAATTAATCACTACTGAGGCCGAAGCGGTGTAATATTATGTAATTATATGATTTTATACCATCTTTAATTATACTAATGGTATTTGTGAAAGCAGCAAAAAGTTAAAATCTTCAGTAAAATCCGATGCCACAGAACAGAAGGTTTAAAATACGAGCTCATATTCTCCCTCTGGCCATCGAGGTCGTCGATTAAAAAGTCTTCAGGAGGAAAACCGGTTGTGTGATTTGGGAATCTTTTGTACTAAATTACGTTAATGTAAGAGAGTTAATGTTCCATCAAATTTTCTACCGTACAGATGATCAAATATTGGAATTGTTGTTTAATTTTGAAGCATTTAAGTGTGTCATTTAGGCTGGAAAGGAAACCGAGATGGATCATTTAACAAGTATTTATTCTGATTTTTCCAGTATTATAGAGCTTGTTTTTCTCTGTTTGGAGCAGGACTATTACCACGTTGATTTCTTTTTCACCCTGTAAATTTAAACTTTTTTTTACAATCACAAAATGTTTTAATGTCAACGAAATTTGTGTCTCTGTTTTCAGTCGGACGTCGTCCATCAGAGCGTGTTTGAGCTGATCCACACAGACGACCGAGCTCTGTTCAGACGGCAGCTTCACTTCGCTCTCAACCCAAATCACAGCCACAAAGATGGCACCGTGGAGAGTCCCAGTAAGTCCCACGTGACGCTCATTACGTGAAAAAGACCTGCAGAGAAAGACTAAAACTAAGACGACGTAGCAACTCGATGAGGAAATAAATACAATAATATTTGTTTACTTAATCAAGGGTTACTCTCTCGCTGAGTACAGTTCAGTCAGGACCAACTTTTATTCCAAAGCAGAATGTTAAATTTGGGACCTCCCTGCCCTTCCACCGGCCTACGTGGAAAGTTTAAGACAAGGAGAGCACCAGAGAGAGACACACACACCCCCGCCCACCTCAGGGCACAGAACAGAGCAAGAATCAATGGCAATCAGAAAATGACATTGATTAATTAGATATGACATAAAAGGAGGAGCTGGGGTGGAGGTGGGTTGCAAAACGGCTTGTAGAGAAAGCAGCAAAGATAGGCAGGCTAAGGCAGCTTAAATAAGGCGCCTTGAATGATACTTAACAATTGGATGTTTGAGGGAATCAGCTGAGCCGTCAGCTGATGTGTGTTTACGATTAGCTGTGATCAGCTGATGTAGCGGGAATTGAGAGCTGAGCTGGACTTCGTGGCCTGCTTGAACTAACGCTGTTCTTAATTTGTTAAACACAAACAGGACTTTTCTCTTCTAGATTGGGATGAATTTTGAGCAGATTATTTCCAGTCTAGGGAACCTTTTATACAATTCTCTGAGTGTATTATGTATTTTTATTATTTCATACAGGCTTCTTTAGACCGAACAAGGTGACTTTGTGCTTATAATTATTTCATCCTATCCTGCAGGTGATCAGAGCTCTGCAGAGGTCACCAGCAACCTGATGACCTACGACCCGCTGGCCATCCCTCCAGAAAACTCGTCCTTCCTGGAGAGAAACTTCTGCTGTCGTTTCCGCTGCCTGCTCGACAACTCTTCAGGCTTCCTGGTAAAACACACACCAGCAAAAATGAATGCCTCCATAGTAAAAATAAAACACATTATTTCAGCTGAAAAGGGGAGCTTCGAAACCTCAGCTGAACCAAATCAAAATGAACTGAGATGTTGTTTTAGATCATTTCTACTCCACTAATGATTATATTCATTAATTGATTCATCTGTTGATCCTTTTTCGACTAATTGTCCATAAAATGTCAGAAAATCAGTGTTTCTTAAAGCCCACGATAACGTCCTCAAATGTCTTGCTTTGTCCACAACCCAAAGACATTCAGATAATAAAACCAGTCTATTATATTTTGCATGCTTAATACATGTTTAAAAAGTAAGGTCTTTGTTTGTCTCCAGGCCCTGAACTTTCGCGGCCGGCTGAAGTTGATCCACGGTCAGAACCGGCTTTCAGAGGACGGGACGTTGGTTCCCCCGCAGCTCGCTCTGTTCTCCATCGCCACGCCGATGCAGCCGCCGTCCATCCTAGAGATCCGCACCAAGACGCTCTTCTTCCAGACCAAACACAAGCTGGACTTCACTCCCATGGGCATCGACACAAGGTAGACACATGCACTTGTTCAGACAAGCATAAAACACTATAGGATCATTAATATAATATATAACTGTATCCAAAACCAGAGCTACATTAGAATTTGCAGAAATATAAGTAAAACAGATTTCCTCCATTGTTTATTAAACTTAATCATTATTATCTCTTTGTCATTAGAGACCTGAGAACAAGAAAGTTTAATAAGTCATAGTCAGCATACAAAAACAACACATATAAGCCCGGACAGCTAACAATGAACAGGCATTAAGTTACATTTTGAGCTCAGAATAAAGCTGAAAACCTACAAGATCTGTTTTAACTTGAATATAACTCTACTTCCTCTCCTCTACAGAGGGAAGGTGGTTCTGGGCTACAATGAGATAGAGCTCTGTATGAAAGGTTCAGGCTACAACTTCATCCACGCTGCAGACATGATGTACTGCGCCGACAACCACGTCAGAAGTAAGTCCCTCCTCTTACACAGGGTATCGTTAACTGATGTAATTTAGGTCGACAGCAGCTCGGTCTGTAGGGACCCGGCTCGGAGACCGGAGGGTGGCTGGTTCAAGTCCTACATGGACCACAGTATAGAGAGTGGACTGGTAGCTGGAGAGAGAAACTTTAAAATATAGACTGTAGGTCAGATTATTTATTATTTAATTATTGAAGTCATGTATTTAGTAATTCTATTATATTTAGTTTGCTTGTTACAACTAGGGCTGCTGCAACAACCGCAACAATGACATGATAACTCCACCGCAGGGGATGGCAAGCCACAACCACAACCACATATGACGTCACATCGTCATGCTCAGTTTGTTTTTTAAGACGGGAAATCGTCCCAGAGCGGCCAGCGTTAATCTGCAGCTCAACTCACAGCTCAGGATTACAAAGCCACACAGGAGAAGGTCACATGGCCTCCGCCTCCCTCGCGCTGGGAAAACTCTCAACTGGAAACACCAGAAGCGTTGAAGTAGAAAACAGACTGGTCTGCTAATAATCCCAGTGGATCACAGCTGTGGCGTTGGCATCCTGTGCCTTCAGTTTAAAACCAGAGAAACCTCGGCAGTTAGCATGTTCAGGTGAAAGTTGCTCTGGGTCGGGGGAGAGTGCAGGTACTGAGATGAGACATTGTGCCGTTGTACCAAGTGTACAAAGAGGTCGATCTAGCCCTGGTTGCACCGTGAAGGAAGATCTCTCTGTGTTTCCTGGTTTATTTAACTAATTTTATTTTTTATGCATAAGAGATGAAGATGAATATAATAATATGATTACAGTGATCTAGATAGGCCCGACCTAATGAGACATAAAGGTTGATGTATAAATGTACAGATAAATATATCTGACTCTTTGTCTTTGTCATATCCAGTGATAAAAACAGGAGAAAGTGGTTTCACCGTCTTCAGGCTGCTGACCAAAACCGGGAAGTGGGTCTGGGTCCAGGCCAACGCCAGGCTGGTCTTTAAAGGAGGGAAACCAGACTTCATCGTGGCCCGGCAGAAAGCTCTGACGTAAGTTAACAACAATTTAAACAGAAAAGCAGAAAATATTGATCTCTTTTGCTTGAAAGACCTAAATGATACATGTTCTGTTGATCTATTAATTGATTAATTAGCTGAATTGATTTTAAAACTACTCTTCTTTGTTTTATTGTCACAGAAATGAAGAAGGAGAAGAACAGCTGCGCCTCCGTCGGCTGCAGTTGCCGTTCAACTTTGCCACCGGGGAGGCGATGCTGTATGATGTAACTCCGACCATCGACGCCCCTGACCCGTGCTCCGCCCCCAAGCAGAGGAAGTTGGACACCTTCTCCGTCAGCCCCAACTCCATGCTGGGCTGCATGCTGAATCAGGACCAGTCGATCTACTGTGAACACAACAATGCCAACACCCTCAACTCCCTCAACGATGTCGCCTTCAAGGACAGCCACGCTACAGTCAACGTTCCTGGAGACGTTTGGTTGGATGCCTCGCCCAAACCCGGTGTGGGAAGCCTGGTGAAGTCCGAGGCCTCAGTTCAGGACATGATGGACACCCTGCAGCAGATCCTCGGAGACAACGAGCTCACCGAAGCCCTGGATGTGGGGCTGGACGAGCTGAAGAGCTGGGAGAGTACCCTGCTGAAGATGAGCACCAACAGCGCCGAGATAAGCGAAGACCTGAACGACATTCTCAGCAACGACATCCTGTCTTATGTAGAGGAGCAACTCCAGAGGGAGGGCGGCCTCAAGTTGCCAGATCAGTTGGATGACATACCACCCTGCCTCTCCACGCTGGACCTTCAGAACCAGAATCCTGACCACGGTGGAGAGCAGAACTTCGGCTGGCCTCTGGAGCCCCAAAACCAAGCAAGACAGCTGACTACCATGGGGATGATGAAACTGACCCACATGGATCTTCCTCAGTTGGGTTCTTCTGGACTAAACGGTCCAACCCTCCAGCAAATTGTCTCACAGCAATCTGTTGGTCTTCAGCTGGGCACCACAGGCAACATTGGCGCTCCAGTTACCTTCAACCCTACCATGGCGGACTCTTGCGGTCAAACCCAGAACCAACTGAGAACCTTACAAGTCACTGCCAAGGACAACAACCTCGGAGCATTCTCGCTCGGGCAAACTTCAACCAATCAGATTCAACCTAATCAAATGGCTCAACTAACGCAGAACCAACTTCAGATGAGGATGCCCAGCCAGCCACTCTGCCTCCAGGACCAAAGCGTAAATCCCATATTCAGCTTTCAGGGCAACCAGTGGAAGTCTGCGGTCCCCAACTCAAACCAAGCCAACAACTTTGTAGAAACTTTCCCCCAAAATATTTCAAGCGAACCAGGTTATACTGCAGATCCTTCCTCATCTAGCTGCCTACAAGGCCACTTACCACTTCAGACACAAGACAACAAGACTCAGAGACCGTCCTGGCCGCAGGGGCAGCAGCAACAGCAACAGCAGATGATCTCAAGTGAACACCAACAAGTGGGCGCCTGCCTCAACCAAATGTCAGGATTTCAGAGGAATCCCGTTTCTGGTGCCATTGTGGCCCAGACCTCTGTCAACGGCAGGCCGATGTTCAGGACTCTCGACACTTCAAATGTACCGTATCCTGTGCAGCAGAACATTGCGCCGCCTCTGGCACCTTCTAGCAGTTGTATGTTCAGAAATGCCCCGCCCTCTGTGCCTGTAAATGGCGTGCACCTCAGTCAGCCGCCCTCCTGCCAAAGACTGAACAGCACCAGCAGCCAGATCCCCTCCAAGTCCTCCTGTTTCTATCAGAGTCTCCCCGGAGGCGGATCTGTGCCGGGGCTGACGGCTATCCCGAATCCTGATGAGGCAGCGCTGTCCTGCCAAATGGCCACTGGTCTTGACTCGGAAGTCCTGTTGGTGCAACAACAGCAGTACTTAAACTTCAGTGAACAGACGCAGGTAAAAGCTAACATTTAGTGCAGACTTTTCAAATAATCTTTACAAAACACAAAGCATATATTGTATGTATGCACAGTGGTAGAAGAAGTACTCAGGTCTTTGACTTATAGTAGTGTAGAAATACTGTTACAAGTAAAAGCACAAAAGCATTAGCTTTAAAATGTACACACAATATTCATACGTAGTTCTACATAAGAACAAATAACAACAGTTCAGACTGGTGTTGACTCTGGTCCTTTTCTACGTCTGTGTTTCTTTACTTGCCTACCTTGGTAGCTTTAGCAGTATGTTAGCAGTATGTTTATTGATTTCTGTCGAGATGTAAAGAGAATTTAAACAAATAGGACAAAAAAATGACATCTGTAAACTGTCAGAACTCTTTAATAACCACAGGTGATCAGACCTAATGTTTCTTTAATCGTTCCACAGATCAACAGCTGTCCAGTTGTAGGGAACGGAGGTTTCCCCTTCTCCTTGCTGCCCAATGGGAACACATACTACTCAGAGAACAAATAGGAATCTGTGACTGGGACTTCAGGACGGCAGGGGATCCCAAATCGGACTGAAACGGCAGTTTATAGGAAGCAGAAGACTCCTGTCTCTAAACATAAAAGTAGATTAGACTGAAGAATGCCCGAGAAGGACAAAGAGACGAAACAGGACGCTTTTTTTTTTTTCTTCTTATTCAGACAAAGGTGATGAAAGCTTTAAGAGTTCAAGTGTTTGGTTCAGGACGGCTGTTGGAGGAAGAGAAGAGCTGGTTGGATTGTACCAAAAAAACAATAACAGATGAACGAAATCAGTAATTTGTTTTGTGAAATCGTGATCAAGTTTGAGAAACTCTAACACAAGTAAGTCTGGCAAAGTGAGTTTGTTTGTGATGTTTTTTCTGCCACGTTGATAGATGAAAGTTTAAATCAGCCAATCATGCAACAGCACTGTCCCTCTTTTTCCCATGACTGCATTCTTGCATCAGATAAGTGGCTATTATTCATCTGTTTATAAGTGGGCATATTTAGATGTATGGGAGTCAAAAAGGCTTTATGGACTACATGAGAGACCGTCCCGGATGCTTCCCCTGTGCGCTTCTCTTTATCGGAGGTGAGGAAGTGAACCAGCTCTCAGTCCACATCCTTGACGTCTTGTAAAAGCAGCTCATTCTGTATGCAAACACTTTGGACAAAGCCTAAATCTCGGTTCACACAGGCGACAGTGAATTCCTGGCTAAAGCAACAACAGCGCAGCGATTCTCTGCGAAAACATCGTGCTACTTTATGGAAGCATCGGAGAGGACCAAGCTAACAGAGATCAGCGCCCGATCGGCCCGTTTATGGCATGCTGCTCAGGATTTGAGCAGAACATAAGGATTTATAGAGAGAGTGAAGTTGATTTGATGGAGTGGTGATCGTGTTATTGAGCGGTTCTACGGGCTCAGACAGATCAGACATCGTCTTTAAGTCTTGAAGGATGTGGACTGAGCAAGTGGTTTGATGAATCCTCGTCTGGTTCTCACCTCTGAGCCATTAAGGGGGAAGCATCCACAACCGTCTCCCCAGCAGTGGACTGTCAATCCTCTGCCGTCACGGACCCACAAACACGCACTCTACTCCCTGAACATCTGTTTCCTGTCGCGAGCGCTCAGAAGGATAAAGTTTATCTACTTTTTTGAATTTATTTGCTGTTTTTGTCCTTTTGGAAATGCGTCTTGATTAAGTTCATTTCAACTCTTTACTGTCCCAGCGAGGGAGATTTGCTTTGCAGACAGGGTATAGAAATAAAAAACGCACAACATCACAAGATCATCCTACTAACAGACGATTGTTAAGATTTAAACGAGAGATGATTCAGTGAAAACCGCTGCTTTTTAGTGCCTCTTTTATATATTTTAAAATCATTCAGAGCTTTTGTCATTGAGCCAGTTTTGTTTTCGTTTTTCTTTTCCTTTAATATTTCTGTGTTGTTTTCCTGTTTTAGGGGAGAAAAATCATAGACAGTGCCTTAAACTGACAGACTTTAAAGGGACGGTCTGTTGACACTTTAAAACATTTCCACCGGGAATATTCGCAGGAAGGTGTAAACTAGATTTCACATACGACTGAAAACCAAAGTTAAACTGGCCCTAACTTCACCCAGCCAGTGGTTGAGATGTTTTTCTTGCACTGTTCCTTTTAAAGTGTTTGCCAAAGCATAATTCACAGATCCTCCGTCTGACAGCACGATAAGAGCTTTAGTACAAGAACAGATCCCTCAACCGAGTGTTCACAACATTTGCACAAATTTAGATGATTTTAGTTATTTAACTGACTGGATCCTCGAGATTTTATACATATTGGATCATAAATGGATAATTTGATTAGAACTTAAATGAATAACATTTTACAGATGGACCCAGACGGAGAGTCAACGCGCAGCAAACCGCCTTCAGATTCTCTTTTTAAGTAGGACTGGGTGAACCTGAACCTGAAAGGCCAGGATGTCTCTCTGAGAGTGGACGCTTTATTCAGATTTTCCACAACTAATTTCCGTCCTCTTCCTCTTTTCTGTTTCTGTCTTTGTGGTTAATTTATCGGCGTTCTTGCTCGGACCGGGAGTGTTGACGACCGTCCGGCAGCGAAACGCAGAAGTAAAACGGTTCAAGGCAGCTAATGTATATTTTAAATGAGGAGCAAAAAATGAACACTTCAATTTGAAAGTTTAAAAAAAAAAAAGGGTGTGGAAACTTCAAATGCCTTTTAATTGACCTCTTTTTGATTGTTGATTGTAGTAAACAACACGATTCAGCACTTAGATGGAGGAGAAACGCCTCAAACTGCAAGAAGTGTGCGTCGCTTCATCCAGTACTGAGCCATGAAACATGAGTCCAAGCGAGCCTTCGTGTCGCTCGTTATCAGCACTTCTGTACTTTAAAAAAATAAAGAAATCTCCTAGAATAAGTCGTTTTCAGATGATTTTTAGAAGCCGCAAAAGTCAAAAGTGGTGTCAGCAAACTTGAATATTTGACTTAAATACCAAAAAGAAGTCAGTAAAGCCATCTGTGATGCTTTATCCTCGAGGATACCAAAGGGACGAGACACGATGCAGATCTACAGACCAGAACGATTGTAGATGTGTGGAAATGTTTTGATATTCACAGACTAGAATTATGCTGCGTTCATGTCATAAGGAAGTTTCCGTAATTAACAGTTTCTTGTAAATAGTGTTCATCAACATCCTGGAGAAACTCAGGACACTCTGGAAAAGACAAACAAATATGGACGTCTGACGTTCAGCATCATAAAAGCCACGTTTTATTGGTGAAGTGTTACATTATCAGAGCACAGTATTTTTAACTTCCACAAGACCAACTCTACAATCTCCTCCAATGAATTACAGCTTAAACAATCAGTCGTTTCAGTCATTTTTTTAACCAAAAATAAGTGCTTTTGTTTGTCACATCGTCGTTAACTGATGATATTTGTGTTTCAGACTGTTGGTCAAACAGAACAAGACGTTTTCAAGATGCTGGGTAGTTACAATGGTCATTGTTTCACTATTTTTTGACATTTTATAGACTAGCAATTTATCTATTAATTGTAAAAAATAATCATCAGATTTATAAAATAATGGATAATGAAAATATTCCGTCTTTACCAGGTCTGCCTAATAGCCACAACTGCAGTCTGTATCATTTATATGTCCGATATATCCGCACTGTAAAAACTGTTGAGACTGATTGCATCGAACATTTTAAATAAAACTCAATTTTATACGTTGAAAAACATTATTGATCAAGTATCTTTAATCATTTTAAGTGACGCTGACTTTTTTTTTGTGCTGTGAAAACAAAACACCTGGTAAAAAGTCATTAATCAGGAATGTCAACAGAACAAAGTTAGTGTCACTTTTCTAACTTAGAAAACGTAGTTTGTGTTATTTAAAATGTTCGATATAATCCGTTTGAACAACTGCTTTGGGTTAAAATAACTTAACTGCATTATAATCTCTGGTCTGGAGGTTGACAGATTGATTCTGTACAGTACGTACTGCACACTAATCGTCACACAGCAGCTAAAACTGTATGCAAACAAAAATCTGCATACTTAATCTATACTAACAGGAAGACTTGTGCCTCTTGTCTGGTTTGAGCGTGCTCACAGTGTACCAAGTGTAGAGTTAGTGCGTACGGGTCGTACGGATTCGGGACACGCCGTATGATTTGAACGCTGCATGCAGCAACAACCTGCCCCGTTCTCTTGGCGTTGTTGAAAGGCATTCTGGGTAATGTAGTGAACCACTAACTGCAGTATAAAGTAAAGGAGGGTTGCTTTAAAGCTTACTGTGGATGTGTTTGTGGACTTTGACTTTTTGTTGGTGCTTTTAGTCGCTAAAACAAAATCACCAGGTGAGCCTTAAACAGCAGATTTACCCAAAGTCATCACAGATGGTCGACTCAGTACAAAAGGAAGTGTGTGATTGTTCGCACCTTCACGCCTCTTCTCCTCTTCAAAATCCATCGAAAATATCGTATAGAAATATAAATATAATATTGTTGCTCGCTTCTAGATTAAAAAGTAAAAAAAAAAAAGCCTTTGTACTTATTATACTTATATTTTTCAAACCCCAGGTGGCCGAGGCTCCAAATTGCAGTATCTTTGTGTATCTGTATACAAATATATATATTTGTCTCCTTGTTTTCCTTTTTTAAAATATGTATTGTCCTATATAATGCATTTTAATGTTGTATTGCCTTAACCTGACTCACGCCTGTCATTTTTTTGTACATCTTCTGCACAGCTTAAACATATGTAACCTCTTGTTATGATGTTTTCTTTTGTAACTTTTCAATTTATCATAATTTGTCTTCAATATTTTGCCTCTCTCAGTGTATGAGTGAATCTTTTCATGCTGACCATATTAAAGGTGATCTGATCACACAAAGAGTGAGTGTTTGTGTCTCCGGGGGTATTTTCTTACTCTCTAAATGTAGTTTATTGTAAAATAGAGAGAGACATTTTACAGATTTGTGTGGTTTAATACGCTTATAGACAATTATTTGTTCTATTTGAGCTTTAAAAGGAAAAAAAAACAACTTAAAAATTGTTATTTTTTTAGCTTTTTACATGTTGCTGTAGTTTTGATCAGTGTGATGCGCTCCAGTGTCCACTAGAGGACGCTGTCACTTTGTTTAATGAGCAGCAGGTTCATCAGATAATGGTTTTAACTGCAGGACCAAACTGGGCCAAACAGCAGGCGTGACCTTTAACATTTTAATATAATATGAATATATCCTCTAATGTGGAGTATTACTGAAGTAACAGTATTATTCAACAGGTAAAGATATAAGATAATTGTTTAGTCTTTTATTTAATAAGCTGACCATGTGTTTTGTGTTTAAATAGTCATGATAATAAGCTATTTGATGAACGTAGCAGAGTAAAAAGTACAATTTGTAGTGTTTTCTTCTGGTTACGTGTTTCCTAAAGTAAGTTTTATTTGAGCTTTTCATTTTAAAGTATAAGATTGTGATTTTCTTTCTACTTTTAAAAGTTGTGGTGCGCCTTTAAGTCCAGGTAGAGCAGGAAAGTATAGTTAGTTTCTCTGATGGAGGGCTATTACAAAATAAAAGCTGATGTAGTATTATTGATATACAGTCATTATACAGAAATATAAATAATAATAATGTTGTTTGTTAAATAACAAACAGGCATTGTGAATGGCCCGAGCCCAAGCAGCAAACAAAACAGATACAAATAAAAACAAACAAAATTCTAAAATGTAGGTTAAATTGAAATAATTTAATTTAATTAATAAATTAATCAATATATAATTAATTCAGACAATCTTAAGGCACTTTTCCAGTTTCAGTTACTAATTATACAATTAAAATAACGTTACTTGATCACTCTCCGTTACCTTCTGGATTACCTCATCACCGAATATGTAAATAAAAACAAGAGAGAAAGGGAAAAAAGGAAGTATTGATTGTGAGTGTATCCTATAAGACAACAGAACAATGTAATAATATTAGAAAATAAAGTAGAAACTGAACTGACCTCTGCCCACTGTAAAACTGATTTAAAATCGTCACTGTCTTTTTCCTGTAACTGTAATGTAAACGTAAAAACAACATTAAATAAATATTTATCACATTTGTTTTTTATTTAAAGGCCAAATTTAAAGATTTAATTTATTTTTTTTTTAAAAAGGTCGACCGTTATTTATTTTTTATTTTTTTACCTACGTCACCTTTGACCCGATGCGCGCGCCCGACGTCAAATCAGTGCCCGGGAAGCGCGCGCGCTGTCCTGTACCGGAGCAGCGGAGCAGCGGAGCGACGGTTGGACCTTTAACTCTCTAACGGGTCGTTTTAACGGTCGTCCGCACGATGTGAAGTTTTAACGGAGGTTTGTATCTCCCCGACGGACCCAGCGGAGCGCCATGAACCGGGAGAACCGGGACAACCGGAGCGAGAAACTGCGATAATCCCGCTGTGATTCTCCCACCGACGGGGGCCGTTAGTGCGGCTGTTTGATCCGTTACTGCCCGGAGACATGGACTCTGTTTTATCTGCTTTAATGTCCAATAAAAGTCTGAATTACCGACCGGAGTAAGTGCAGCTGTTAACCGGAGGTTGTGTATGGAGGACCCCCAGCGCCACTGTCCATAAACCCACAACCACAACCATGTATGCGGGACGCAAACGGAGAAAACCGGCGCACAAGGGGTGAGTTATAGTTTATTAACGTTAATTAAAGAGCAATAAAGTTCTTATTGTAGTTGTTAAACGCTCATTCTGCTCACATGAGACCATTTATTCTGTGATATTGTTTCCATTCTCAAAAGCACTTTATCGATGTTTAAAGGTCCAGCCAACAGATAGCTTCTATATATTAACTATTAGATAGTTATTATTAGTTATTATAAGGACAAAGTTCCTCAAAATAATACAATAATGTGAAGTTTCTCATTATAATAACTTACCTGGGGATACCACACTGTCTCATTACAGCAGGGGCGTTTCCAGACGTCTGTGACTGGGGGGGGGTATGGACCCCAGTGTGCAGAAAGATTCAGATACACGGGGTGAAAACATTTATAACACGCAAACGACTGCATGGGAGAGGAGACCCCATTTTCATTCAGATATCTTGAGGTCAGAGGTCAAGGGACCCCTCTGAAAATGGCCATGTCAGTTCTTCCATCGCCAGAACTTAGCCTGACTGTGGGCCGTTATTTAACGGTCAGTACCGGTGGATGCGTTAAAACGGCGTCCGCCACATCCTCTGAGAGGTGAGGAGGGGGGCACTTACGAACTTAGATCTGTTGATATTGGTATGTATGTCAGACAACAGCTTATATCTCCATTTTTAATAAATAAATAACCAAATTTAAATGTTTTTTAGTGTGTGTTGTGGTCAGAAGTCCCGTATTTATAATGAAGTGTGTGCAGACTAACCCTGGATGTGACAGTAAGGCTTATATATCACCTTCCTTATCATGCAGAGTCAAACCGACCCCAGCCGAAGGCGCCAAGTCCAACCCGTCCAAACGCCACCGCGACCGTCTGAACTCGGAGCTGGACCGGCTCGCCAGCCTGCTGCCCTTCCCTGAAGACGTCATCTCCAGCCTGGACAAACTGTCCATCCTGCGGCTCAGCGTCAGCTTCCTCCGCACCAAGAGCTTCTTCTCCGGTAGGAAAACACACGGCGCGGCTGATTGGTGAAACATCAGCCGGAACGTGTACAGATGTTCAGTTAATGGGAGGCAGCTCACTGTGGGTCCGCAGTGGTTTCAAAGAGGTGACAATGATGAGTGTTGAAGCTGAAACAGATAGAAAAGAAAGCCGGTAAACAGCCGCCCGCCCTTTTCCCTCGCCGCCTACCGAATTACTGAAATAGCTTTTCACACCTCACACAGGACCCGCGGACACTGAGGCAGCCAAACGTTCAGAAACAGACAGACAGGGAAACAGACATCCACAATCAGCTGGCAAAGTGAAAACACAAATTCAGGTCTATAAATAACGGCAATATTCAATCTCATTGTTTTCCTCATATTTGAGACTACAAATATAAAATATAAGTGAGGATGGGGGGTTTGGGGGAGGATGGGAGGTTTGGGTGAGGATGGGAGGTTTGGGTGAGGATGGGGGGTTTGGGGGAGGATGGGAGGTTTGGGTGAGGATGGGAGGTTTGGGTGAGGATGGGAGGTTTGGGGGAGGATGGGAGGTTTGGGGGAGGTGGGGGTTTGGGGGAGGATGGGAGGTTTGGGGGAGGATGGGAGGTTTGGGTGAGGATGGGAGGTTTGGGGGAGGATGGGAGGTTTGGTGAGGATGGGAGGTTTGGGTGAGGATGGGGGGTTTGGGGGAGGATGGGGGTTTGGGGGAGGATGGGAGGTTTGGGTGAGGATGGGGGTTTGGGGGAGGATGGGAGGTTTGGGTGAGGATGGGGGTTTGGGTGAGGATGGGGGGTTTGGGGGAGGATGGGAGATTTGGGGGAGGATGGGGGGTTTGGGTGAGGATGGGGGGTTTGGATGCTGCCTGTGATTGAGGCTCTGATTAAGACGTGGTAAAGTGCAGAGGATTGGCTTTGTCGAGGAGTTAGCAGGCTTACAGACGTAGCAGATGGATTTTGGGTTGTGTGTGTGTGTGTGTGTGTGTGTGTGTGTGTGTGTGTGTGTGTGTGTGTGTGTGTGTGTGTGTGATTAGCTCTTAAAGGCAGATTGTAAGTCTGTGCTCAGAAGTCTGAATGTCTGGGATATGTGAACCCTACATTTGCAGTTTGATCTACTGAATGAGGCTCCAGTCAGAATCTACAACAGCTTTGAATCTATGTTTCCTGTATGAGCTGTAAACTCAACACTTCCTGTAGCTGTTTCAAATTAAAAGCCCTCTGGCATTTCACTGCATTGCTTAACTAGGCTTTTATTGTGAAATATTTGCAGGAACATTTTTGTAAATAAAAAATAAAAAACTCCACTCTAGTGATAAAATTCGGTCCGATTATTGGCTTAATATCAAACCGGCATTAAAATGTAACATGATTAATAACCCATCAGACTGAGCCTGCAGAAACAGCCCCACTGCTCTGTCCAACACATCCCCCTCTCACGTCTCAACCTCAATGCGCAGTAGGTCAGCTCCTATCGCTCGGGGCCGCGAGACGACCGCTTGTCCCAAAGCCTCAGACGCACAGTAATGCAGGTCTGAAGAGACTGCTGCTGCTTCACGGCGAGCACCGAGAAGGCGGGAGGACGAGATGAAAGCGTCAGAGAATAAAAACATGGCGGGATAATCCACTCACGGGCCGCTTTACAGACCTTTTGAAGAAGGAAGGGGGGAGATCGGCGCCCACGGTTCAACTTTTGACTCCTGCAATCTCTGAGAAACCTGTTTTTAATTGTCCATTGTATTTAACCTGCAGCTGGTCTTTACAGGAAGTTTAGTCAGATCTCCGTAAGCACGCAGAAGAATCAGGTTAGGTTGAGGTGAGGTTACACAAACACAAAGTCCTCTGCTCTGCATTCATCTACGGCTAACTAGAAGCTAACTAGCTGTCTCATATATCATCTCAAAGACTCTTTTATGGCTGTATTTTATTAAATCGGGACAAAGTGAAGCCAGAAAACATGGCGTATGGATTTCTGTGTGTTGTGTAACTTCTTAATGTGTCAGTGCTTTCAGTGCAGAGACAGAGCCAGGAGACAATTACTGGAAAATATCTTGACGCTGTCTCTCGGGACCTGATTGGATTTCATAAGAACCCTTCCAGTGTTCTTCAGTCTGGACACTCTGATTATAATTGATTATCTAACATCACAGGGCTGTGAAATACTGCGTGCTTGGATTGATTGTACATGAAAACGATCACATGAATCAATAAATAAAGAAGTCAGTGGTGTATTTAATGAGTCCAGGATAAACACTGCTGTACAACATCTGTCTGATGAGAGCAACCAACTGGAATTCATTGCAAATAATAATAAGCAGGTTTAGATCATTTTTTGACAGCCGTTGTTTGAAGCTGGGTTTCATTTTTGGGAGTAAATTCGTAGTTTTTGTCCACAGCTACAGTCTGACCTTTTTGACGTGTAATTTCCAAGGCCTTGAATCCTGGAATTTCTTTCAAGGATCATTTGTTCCCGTGAGGCCTCGTGTTAAAATCAACTTCTAATCAACAAACGTTAACAAACGGTTGCAGTTGATTCTTCAGATTCTATATCTTCCACCTCATGAAGCAGCACATCCAGAGGAAGAGCTGCTTTCTGTGGATGGTCGAGACTTTGTTGTGTGCCGATGCTGCGTTCAAGACCTCTGGTGAAACTGATGAACTCTACGGTTCAGTTGTTGTTTACTCTGCTGTCAGGAACAAACAACAATACGTTTCCTCTGCTGCACCAGACAAACTTCAAATCTAAACTTTATTCATAAAACCAATGAGTGTGTGTTTACATCCTTCCACCAGTGTCATTCCAGTGTGTGTGTGTGTGTGTGTGTGTGTGTGTGTGTGTGTGTGTGTGTGTGTGTGTGTGTGTGTGTGTGTGTGTGTGTGTGTGTGTAATGTTGCAGTGAATGTGGTTATTAAAGCACAGTTTCAGATTGCACAGATAAGCAGAAGGTGATATTTTGTCAAAGGACAACTGAAATTCTTCATTAATATTTAATACAAACAGTTTGTAGTTTGCAGTTAGTCCTCCCTGTTGTTGTTGTTGTTGTTGTTGTTGTTGATGATGATGTTGTGTTGGTGATGCTCTCCTCTTCCCACCAACCCTCCTGCTGCCCTCAGCCTAACCTTTCAAAAATGTATTTTGGTCTCTGGGATGCCGGATTAGACGGGTCAGTGTTTGTGTCATCCTCCCTCCGGACGGGTTTAATTCGAGGCTGCGGCAGGTTGACTCGCTGGTCGTTGTGTTTACTTGTTGGAAAATCTGCCTTAAAAAAAAAGAATCTAGATTTTAACAACAGTTCAAATGTGTTTTTAGATGTTATGAATGAAAGTAAATCTGCTGTCATGTCAAACAAACATTTGCTGGTCCGAGCTTCTTGAATGTGACAGTTGGATTCAGCCATATTTCACAGTGTTGCAGTTGTTGTGCTGGCTCCTCCAAACGTGGACTCCCTCAGGCTGATGTATGGAGCTTCCTGTATGTGTCCGTTTGTTCCTTTGCAGAGTGAGTCAGAGGACTGAGGAGCGTCTGTTGTGATGTTTTTATCGGCTGTTGGTGTCCTCGTTGCCCTCCGCTGTGCCAACAGATGCCCCCTCCCCTCCTCCTCCCGATCGCCTCAGGGTGTTTTTTCTTGCCGGCGGCTCCCGTTCATGACGTCAGGGCACAAAATACCCCCTTCCACCCCTTCCACCCCTTCCAGCTCTTAATTATTGATAGTCGACATGCTTTCTCTCTCTCGGCCTTGTGAGCTTCCACTAAACTGAGCTCGGTCACCAACAGACAAAGGTTTGGGTGCAGATTTATTTATATATGAGGAGACACTGTTTGAGTTGAGGTTGCTGCTTGATAACAACTGCAAGGGACGTACGGCTGCAGAATTAATCCAAATATTAATCGAAATCACAATATAATTGCAACATGTGGGCTGCAGAGGCTCTGGCCTACAAATCTTCTTCTCCAGATGTTAGAAAACACCAACAAATGTCATGGTGATGTTAATCAGAGTCAGAGTCCTGGTTGGAGCCACTGGAAACCATCTGGGAGCCCGGTTCAGTTCAGTGCTCGTTGGCAGTATTCCCCGCTGGGTCCTCCTACGTTAGTAACTCCTGCTGTCCTTCAGGTACAGGCTGCTAATAGGACAGCTAATGAGCTAGTGGCAGCAGCTGGTACAGTTAGCATAGCAACAGCACCAGTAAGAGACTTCCTGTGTTACAAGAGAAAAGGTCCGTGTTGCAACAATCCTCTGATATACAGTTGTACGCTACACAGATAGATAAAAAAGGTAATGAATTTAAAAAGATCGTCAGATGTCTCTCTCTCTTCCGTTCTTGTTAATATCAAAACTTTGAACCTCAGTACGACTTCTGGATCCGTGTCAAGGTTCGTTTCTGTCCCGTGGAATTACCTCCGAGGCCAGTGGACACAAAGACTCCGTCATGATAACAAAGAGGTCCGATAGAGCTTTATTGATCACTGTGAGGAATTTGGGTCGCGATCAGAAGAAGCAGTGTAAGTGGTGAACCTTTGGCCTCTGTATTGTCTGCAGCGCTCGGAGACTTCCTCTTCCATTAACGTCTCCACCGCTGCTTCAGAAAGCCTCTTTTGTTTTCGTCAGACTCAACCCACTCAGACTGAATTTATCCCCAGGGTCAAAGGCACAGAGCTGGCCTCCATGTTTCGGTCGCAGGGGTCAGAGGAAATATTATTATTATGTCTCCCTGCCTCTCGCTCTCTTTCTCACTGTCCCCATTGTTCAGTCACTTTTTTCCATCTGTCTTTGCCTTCCCTACAGGCACTGCTCTTCCTCTCTTCATGCCTTTTTTTAAGGTGTTACTCTCTCCGTCTTGTGTCCTGAAATCCCCTCTCTGTCTCTCTCTGAAGGTGTTACTCCCCCTTCCTTTTCTCCCCCTCTCTCAGTCTGTGAGTCAGTCCTCTTCACATCAGCTTCTTTGGCCAAAGGATTCAACTGCAAAAGGATAAAGTCAAATAATCTTAAAATATTCCCGAATCCAGGTGATAGCAAAGGAACATGTATCCGCCTCCTGACCCAAACACACCAAAACTACTAAAAGTAGTAGATAGTTCTCTGCTGCAACCACCATTTCAACAATACTAAAACTTAAAGGACAGGCGAAAGCAACCTCAACTTATCTCCGCTCTCTGTTTCTCTCTCCGCAGTGGCACTGAAAAAGCTTCAACTGTCCAATGGCAGGAAAAAGAGCAGCGCTCACAGTGATGACAGCAAAACGTCAGGATCTGTGGATGGACACATACCTGAGGGGGAGCTACTGCTGCAGGTTGGTGAGCGACAGGACGCCATGTTGCTGTCAAAGGCTACTGACTTCTACTCTTTTATTTTCATTGTATCACAACTTGTGATTGGAAGGTCACAGTGGATCCGCTCAGTGGATGCAGATAGGACTGTGGTTGTACTGGGCAGCTTCCTCTCATTGAATCTTCCCTGAATACAGTTAAATGTAAAAACCAAAAGGAAATTGCTCTACACAAGCATACGCAAGATGGATTTGGAAGAGTTGAGAGTAGATGAACATGGCTTGACCACACACATGTATTTACACCTCATTAACATCTGGATACAGTTGGCGTTGAGTGGTGAGTTCACTGTCCTTCCTGAATGCGTGTACATGTTTATATCTGGATTTCTATGTGATAAAAGCGCAGTCACAGCCCCCCCGACTCTCAGGGTCTGAGTTAGTTTGCAGAGAGTCTGCACACAACAACAACAACAACAACAACAACAGTTGGCTGCTTTAAGGACAGTTAAATCCTTGCGATGGAGGAGAGGCCGCTCTGCACAGCAGGACAGGAGCAGAAAGGGCTTTCTTAGACTTTAAAAAGAGAAAGACAGAGTTTGACTTGACCAGAGTGGTCAGTTGTTCTTCACATGTCACACTATTATTATTTATTAAATCCTAAAAAAGTTAAAATAAGTGAGTATTGTATGTATGCATGAGGGAGCTTCCTCAAAGAGCAGAGCTTTTCCTTCAGAATCTAACTGGATAACTATTTGCTCTAAACGCTTGATGTAAATGTCTCTGACTGAGTTAGATTCACTACACGGTTAAAACCAGCTAACAAGGGAATTATCAGCTGAATCTGCAGCTTCCCTCGGCTTTACGGAGCTTTACGGAGAGTTTCAGCTCACAGCTTCACTGATGTGGTTCCCTCTCTCCGCTTCCATAGCATTGTTTCCAGAGAAAAAGCTGTAAAAGCCAGCGTACTCTCCCTTCCCAACAGCAGACAGACACAGCTCCAGACTAACTGCTGGAAATACTGCAGCATTCAGCAGCTAAAGAGCCAGAGATTTCCCTAAAAGAGAGTCAGTATGGGATACAGCACACAAATATGACTCCAAATAATTGATTATGTTGCACTGGAACTGCTGGGTGTCCTGCTGCAGGGGCCAGGTCTGTCGGAAAGTCTGACATTTTGTGAAGCTCAACCCCATTGGGTTGTGTGATGCCATTCAAACCGTTGCGATATGACAGGGGCGGAGCTATGAGCGGTGGGTGGAGACCATCAGTTCTTAAACACAGAGACACAGACAGGAGTAAACACTGGTTGCTCTGCCCTCAATCAATGTACCGATGAATGCATCAATCCCGGAGCAGTAAATGGGTCACTGCAGCGGCGGAGGGCAGCAGCATCCTGCTTTCAGCTGCTCTGTTCCATTACACACACCGAGCCATGAATTATACAGAGCCGGTGAACGCATCTATTATTGAAGTGACGGGGGTTTGGATGAAGGGTGTGTGTGTGTGTGTGTGTGTGTGTGTGTGTGTCTGTGTGTGTGTGTGTCTGTGTGTGTGTCTGTGTCTGTGTGACTTGATTACGAGGTCTGCCGGGTCGAGCAGCTTTTTTGAGTCAAATTGCCAACATGCTTCTTCTCCTGTGGTAGATAAGAGAGCGTTTCCTGGCAGTGTTTGCTGTCATTGGGTTGTCATCTGACAGAGACATTACTGCTCACACACACACACACACACACACACACACACACACACACACACCCAAAAAACCCCTCCTGAGATGAGATGTGTTTTCTGCAGACAGATGAAGCTACAGTAAATATTTATACACAGTGCCTGTATGCCACTGCACTCTGCACACTGTATATGTGTTCATGCGTGTACTGTGGTTGTGTGTGTGTGTGTGTGTGTGTGTGTGTGTGTGTGTGTGTGTGTGTGTGTGGGCGGAGTGCTGGGCGTGGTCACACACTGTAGATTCCAGCTTTTAGGCAGTTTTTAAAGCTTAAATCTCTTAAATAATGGATTCTGGAACATTTCCAGGCTTGGTTTTTAATTAATAAATATATATATATATATATATATATATATAAAGACTAAAATAATGCTTCATTGGTTTATTTGTGAAAATTATAATAAAAAAATATTTTAAATCAAAGAATTAAATACAGCTTAGCTCTGAGTAGTCACTTCCTTCCAAACCAGAACCAACGCCCAACATGAAAATCAGCTGTCTGGTTAGTTGATTCGTCCTTTTCCTTCCAAAGATATTCAGTTTACAATAATGTAAAACCAGAGACAAGGAACTTTAAGGAACTTGTATTTTGTGTTGATTGGCAGGCGTTAAGAATAACTATAGAAACAGCTGTTGGTTTGTTTATGTTGGTTGTATAGAGGCATCAGTATGAAATAACTCCCTGAAACTTTGTGTTGGCTAAAAAACATGGCAGCTCCAACGAGCCGTTGAAGGAAACTACTGTAAGTCAGAGCTGTGCAGGATTAGAACAACCTTCAGCAAATGTTAATAGCACACCAGGAAACAAGCAAATGAATGTTTTAATGAACAATATGAGAGGTTTTGTCCATGCTGCGGCTGTGGAGTATAACCCTCTTACCTCCACAGTGTTACTTATTCAAGAGCTAAGAGGAGCTGTCTTGTATTAAGCCTGATGGTAACGGCTGTCTGACTCCAGGGAATGGATTCTGAGAGCTTTCTAAAGGAAATGTAAAGTTTGGACCAACAGCAGCGATATGAATGATAGAAAACCATCTGAGCCCAGATGTGGGAATGAGGAGCGTATTAGTGGGGTGTCTGTTCAGATAAAGACTGTACTACTACGGAGGTCATCATCATCCTCTTCTTCATCAGAGCAGTGTAGGCGAATGCTGGCAGAATGCCGCTGGGACTCTTTGCAGCGTCGGGACTCAGTGTCATCACCTCCTCACTGAGCCCCGAGGCTCGAGGAAGACGAGGAGGGAGTGAAGGAGCAACGATGGAGGTGTTAGTCATCCAGTAGTGACCTCTTTCTCCTCCTCCTCCTCCTCCTCCTCTTCGCCATGACTTCTCTTTGAACTGACGTCCGCTCAGCTCCAGCCTCTTCTCCCCGTCTTCCTCTCTTTCTGCCCTGGGGGAGGAGGCTCGTCCTTGGTTTTTAGTTTTCTCTGTCTTTTATCCTCTCTTATCCTTTCTCCGGTCCCATGCTGACATTATTAAATGATTAAATCCAATCAGCATGTAAAACTAGTGATAGACTGATTAATTGTTCAGCCAGGCATCGGGAATATAATGAATTCTACACATTGACAGTGTATATAATGGATAGAGACTATGGGTCTGTGAAGTGAAGCCAACATGGGATTGTCTTAAACCTGCATTCTATGTAATGACCAGCAGGGGGCGGCTCCACTGGTTGCAATAACACACTGATACCATTCAGTCTTATGGAGAAATGAGATTATCTCTCAGTTGATTAATGAGCTCAGTAAACAGTTTCCTGATGAGTTTCTGGTCTCAGTCTCTAGTTTCAGTCTTCTTCCATACAGCATGATGTTCATTCAGTAACTGATGGTCCCATTTAGAGTAAAACAGACTATAAAGCCGGGTATGCTTTAGGGCGGGGCTACCATGGGACAAACAGCATTATAATCATTATAAACAATAAAGAAACAATGTGTTGTCTCCCTGCAGGCCCTGAACGGCTTCATCCTGGTGGTGACTGCTGAGGGAATCATCTTCTTCTGCTCTCACACCATCCAGGAATACCTCGGCTTCCATCAGGTAAAACCTCCTCCTCCAAGTGGCCTTTCTCAACCCACCAGCACACTCTCTTTCAAAAATACCCCATTACACACATGCTTTTACTAATGTTTGTGTATTATTTTATTGATTATGATTGAATATGTTGTGAATTATAAGGAATTAGCTTTTAGTCACCGTAGTGGGGACTGCTGAGAGGCAGAAAGGTGGAGTTAATGAGCACAGTTGATTCATGTTGAGCTTCCAGAGAGCAGCAAGTGAACGCATCGGGCCCTGAGGACTGAAACAAATGCACATATGTAGCAAGAGGTTTAATTCAGTTGGCTTCACAACAAAGCGCCACTGCCTCCAGTCCATGTTGAACAATGTGAATATCAAATTACACAAAGTCTGTCTGTCTGTCTGTCTGTCTGACACACTCATCTAAACACAGTCACTGTACATCACCATACTGTGCACAATCACACATCTTGCCACACTGTCCCTGCCTGGTCAGGGTGTAAACTGGCTTTCACCCCTCATCCCCCCCCCCCGTCCACCTTAGGCACGTCACCACTCATTTGCCAAACAAACCCAAATCTGCAGTGAAACAGCGTTTGGAAACAACACTACGCAGAGCGGCACCCAAACATAGGGTGTCAGCAGCTGTTGTGACACCCATAAAATAAGACACAACTGAGGAAGAAGCCAGAAAAAAGAGAGAGAAGAGTTAAATTAGACAACCATCATACAAAAAGAATACATATAAGGTCTTAAATCACAAATAAAAGTGTCATACAAAAGCTGTTAGACAGTAAAGCTCTAAAATATATAAAAGGAGAACCATAAAACTCAAGCTTGAGGGCAGCTTTAAGGTATTTCCATGTAAAAGCTGCAGAGTACCTGAAACCAGTTCTGTCAGAATGAGTACATATCGAAGGTTAAATAGTTATTGTTCCTCCGGTTACAACATTTGAATGAGAGAAGAGATGTAAGGGAGCTTTATGATTGGAGGAGGGACAGTCGGAGGGAACGAATCCTCAGGACACTGGGCTCCTTCTCCGAGATGTCAAAACAGTCCCAGGGGTTGTTTGATTGTCTAATTGTCTTGTGCTAAGCTAAAGTAAGCACTGGCACTAGCAACTACTAGCTTAGCACAACCACTGCTTGAGCAAGTCCACATAAATCCCAAACACACTTAACGAGAACAATAGCTCCCGCTCTCATTCTGCGGTTTGAAAAGTATTTCACGTAACACTTCTGCCTGTCAAAATTCCTTTTTTGGTGACCCGAGTTTGACCTCGCCGACACTGGGAAGGTGGTCCCAGTCTGGTCCTCAGCCAGGTCATGCTGGGTCTGGACGACAGATATCAGGGTCACAGCAGGTCTTTGGCTTTGTTTCAGCTATTTGAATCAAATGTTTAGTGACACTTGATTTCTTTTGGCACCACTTCAAGGCAAACGAAATCAAACGCACCCCTCAGGGTAGCTGCTGACAGTAACCGCTTTAACTAAATATCTGCATTAACTTAGGATTGTATTAAAACAGGTTACACTCTGTGTTTAAGAAGACGGATTCAGACTCAAACTATGTTTTCCTTTCAGACCGACGTGATGCACCAGAGTGTGTTTGAGCTGATCCACACTGAAGACCAGCAGGAGTTCAGGAGCAACCTGCACTGGGCCCTCAACCCCCCTGCTGGCCTCGGACCCCCCACGGATCCCTCAACAGGTCTGTCAACTGAAGATACACCCGGTTCATTTCAGCAGTGTGTCCATGCTGTGTGTGATGTGCCGGTGCAAGAAAAAGCTTTTAATAAACAGAACAGCATTTCCGAATGAAAGCATCAACAGAGAGCAGAATGAAGGAGCAGACAACCGGCACACAGACATGCAGGTTCAGGTTCAACAGCAAGGTTCAGGTTCAACAGCAAACATAACAACGGGCGTGGCCTAACACAGAACTCTATAACTCACTGCTGGTTTCACTAGATAACACCATCACAGTTAAGGGTGCTCTGATTGATCGTAATCGGCCAATATTCGGTCTAATTAGTTTCATCTGTATAAACGCAGATCAGAAGAGGAGAGAGTGGAGCAGAAAGTGGCAGGACGGGGCAGCCGGTGTGTGTGAGACAGAAGCTACACTATAAACATATAGGTGACGCTCGGAGCACCCTGAAGGTGTTTCAGATTAAAAGCCTTGCTTCTTTTTGCCCTTCTGAATCTGAACTGAGGTCAGAGAAGAGGCGAGAAGAGGTGACCTTTAACTGAAGCCTCCTGAGATGAGGTCTAAATGTTACAGCACACACACACACACACACACACCACCTTTACTAACACAGTGCGCACACACAAACACAACAGTGGACACACCAGCAACTAAGACAAACTCACACAGTTGCTTTCATCAGCACACACACACACACACACACACACACACACACACAGACTCCTGTCATTTTGCATTAGGTCCCAGTTGACAAGATACACACAAACAACACGTCAAGGTCAAGTTGTCGTCCGATGTACAGTTTGTTTTTAGCAGCTGACGTTTTCCACAATCTCATCATCTCCGTACAAATCATAATAAAATAAAAATAAAATGATCTTTCGTGTCGTCAGATGGAGACTCGGTGTCGACCTCCTCCTGCCCGGTGAGCTACAACCCAGACCAGCTTCCGCCTGAAAACTCCTCCTTCCTCGAGAGAGGCTTTGTCTGCCGCTTCCGCTGTTTGTTGGACAACTCCTCCGGCTTCCTGGTAGGACTCAAATTTCCATTCAGTTTAATGCAGCAGCCCGATCAAAATACACACACACAGTTTATAGGAAGAAAGAGAAACACAACTTAGATTAGCAGGTTTTAACTATAGTGATAGTTACTTATAAACACTTTCCCAAATAAAGTGGTAAATGAATCCATATTTGAGGTTTGTGGTGTTTCCAGGCCTGTTGTTGCTGCTGGCAGTATGGCGTGCCACCTCAGAGTCCCTCAAGGATCAGAAGCTACCATTTACTCCTGTAATCCGCCTTAAGAGAGCCTCGGGGTCGTGGGGAAAAGAGCCTTAATCCTCCCACCACCCACAGGAGACGAGAGCAGAGGGAGAACTTGCTTAGTCAGACCGGCCACTGCTCCACTAAGACCATTAGCTGCAGATGGAGTTCAGTGGCAGAGCAAATCCCTCAAACCTGCTGGGAAAACTGGGGCAGGGTCGCCCATGAGCAAGGCACTTTACACCCATTGTCCTGACATTTAACAGGCTAAACAATTAATCACGGACAGACTGATTGATAATGACAATAATCATTAGTGGCTGCAAAGGGAAGCTGCTGTTAGCTAGATACCAGAACCAGAACCGGGAGACCTGGTAGTGTAAATGTGGGACAGGCTTTGGCTCGTTGGCGAGAGCTCGGTGAAATAAAAGGCTGCAGACTGGCTGCCAATTCCTCGACGTTTGGCTGTGTTAGCAAAGTCGCTGACTTGGTAGTTTTTGATCATAAATTATGAAATCATAACACATGTACAGTTGTTCATATTGACCACAGTTGTATTGCAACCGGGGCGCCAAATCACAACAGTGAGAAGCTTCAGGGCAATCACCTATTATCATATTATTATTGTTTAACAATGCGGTTGAGGGCGGGGACTCACCTCTTCATCAATAAAAGAAGGTTAGGATGATTAGGGTTGTTTTTGTGTTGTTTCTTCTTCAAGCATGTTAGGGATTCATCGTCTTGCTCATGAACACTCCAGCGGTGAAGGGCTTCGAACCTGCGTCTCTCTGTCCTCCCTCCCAGTGCGTTTGCGTGAGCAGTAAGCCAGGTCTCTGCTTCCGTCTACCGGTCGCTATGGCTTTGTTTTTTTAATCCCTCCTGCTATTCAGGGCTAGATTCCTGACATCACGGCTGCAGGCCCTTAAACCCACCAAGGTCAATTAACCACAGCTAACAGAGGAGGAGGTGGGGGTCCCTCACACGAGATGCCACAGGGTGAGAGGAGCAGGCAGGAGAAAGTGTTTTCAGGTTGTTGCAACACTTCCCTGATGGTTGTTGATCCAACAGTTCACTCAGTCTTTGTGAAGAAAGTGTTTTCACTGTCAGACAGACGAGAAGGATGGTGTAATGAAATCAAGTGAAAACAAAACAGGCCAATGTTGAGGCTAAGTGTCTACATGCAATTAGTTGCTAGCTCCAAACAACCCCAGAAAACAAGAAATACAAAGTCTGTATGTGCTCCAGATGTTTGGCCTCTTCTAATGTCTGCCTGTCAGATATTAAGGCTTAAAGACAGCGTTTGTAGCAGGGTTGGTGACTGCAGGGGGATTCTGGGTAGAGCAATTTGTGTCATTCAGTGCAGATTAAAGGAGACGACACCCTGCGTGCTGGTCGGCTCACTTTGATTAGGCACCAATCTTCCTCCTCAAAAAAGTTCAACTGTTGGATAAGAGAAGAAAGGTTTGGCTGGCTGGATATTTAGCTCTATTGCTCATTCCACCTGCCCAGAGACTGCAGGATAGCTAAAGCAGCACATTTACATTAATGTCTGTTGTCAAAATCACAGAGGTCTGGAGGAATTCAAGAACAGGAGTTGGTTAGAAAAAGGAGGTGCTCTCCTGTAAAGGATACTCACAGCCAGTCAAATTACTTCACTGCTTCTTATTGTAAAACGAGCACTCTGAGCCTCATCAGTGATTCTAACATGTAGAAAGCACAGAAACTCCACAACAGGTCCATCAAACATTAAATGCTGTTTTTAAAATCGTGTACAGTGAGTCATGTGACCAGAGGGAGCGTAGCTGGAGGGTTTCCAGTAAGAGACACCAGTGTACCCAGTGTGTTTACAGTGTACTGAAGTGGTATTCCTGTCTACGTTACCCAGCAGGATAAATAAGACTAATGGTGCTCGACAGGGAGAAAAGAAACAGCACTCACCCGTCTGCTGTGGAAGCTCAGAGGGAAAGGAAACATCATCTTATTCGTGATCTGTTGACATGAAATCTGCATGTGCTTTCCTCTCAGGCGCTCAATATCCAGGGTCGACTCAAGTTCCTCCACGGTCAGAGCCAGAAGCAGTGCGACGGCGAGACGAGTACCCCGCCTCAGCTCGCCCTGTTTGCCATCGCCACACCCCTCCAGCCTCCCGCCATCCTGGAAATCAGGACGAGGAACATGATCTTCAGGACCAAACACAAACTGGACTTCACACCCATGGCGTGTGACGCAAAGTACGTCCTGCTTACATAAAGGGTTGTTTATTTGTTTATTTAGTTCAGTTTGTAATTGTTGTGTGTATCTGCTGGATTTACAGGGGTAAAATTGTTCTGGGTTACACCGAGGCAGAGCTGAGAGTTCGAGGTTCGGGTTACCAGTTCATCCACGCTGCCGACATGCTGTACTGCGCCGAGAATCACGTCCGAAGTAAGTGACAGCTGCTCGTAGTCTGCTCGGCTTACACAGGTGACTTCATAGTCAGTGGAGCACGACAGAGACAGGAAGGTTACTGGTGAAAATCACAGGAAGGACTGGGATGAAAATATGGGTAGAGAAGGTAACGCAGACCTCCGCTGACAACCCCCGCCAAGGAGCTGTTGGGCAAGACAGCGAAGCTTCAGCTGCTCTCCACCCACCGAGGATCAGTGTGTTCAGAATGAAAGTGTACTGACCCCGTCTCATGTTGGGCTCAACGTTACATTTGTAACACATGCAACAAACAAGCAAACAAACACTGTGTGTGTGTGTCTGCTATTGACTGAGAAATCTCCGAGCGAGAGTCAAGTGTCCTACTTAGCTTGTGTACCGGATGACCCGGTTAGTTGTAACCATGGCGCCCTCATCGCACTGCTACCAGACACGCTCACACACACAAAGGCGCATACTATATGCAGGTAGTCATGCATATAGAAGCAGAAATACATGCATATGCATTTGGAAACGTACAACAGAGAGATACATACATGTTCATATCGCATTAATGCACACACAGATGGGAAGTCAGGTAGACAAACACAAACTGAATCCACATAATTATAACACATGATGCCATTTTAAAGATATTACTGTTGAACATTAGGATTAGGGATGCAATGTTTGGAATTATTATTATTATTATTAGGACCAGAAGTGTGCAAACATATCACTAACGTCTGAAGTCACCATGGTTACGAAGGAGTAAATGTCCAATTTACTGTTTTTCCTGTCATGTAAGTAACATTACTCAGTATTTTGGCCCAGCTGGAGAATACAGACATTTACTCCTGTAATCCCTCAGATTATGAGTAAAGTAAAACAAAATGAGGCCACAGATACGTACACCAGAAAACTCACTGCTCATTAGCTGTCATTTGTTTTGTAGTTGGACCACAGTTTCAGGGAGAATGAACAATCTGTGAGCTATACAGTTCCTAACTTTCTAACCATGACCCTTCTTCTTCAGGACAAACGGAAGGGTTTGTCCACAGACATAAATATTGCAGTTCCTTCTGAAGGTCAGCAGCTCAGAGCTTTTACTGCTAAAAATATGCAGCACCAACAGAAACTGTGAAACAGATCCCAAAACTCAAATCTGTGCACTGTTTGTTGTTTCTTACTTTTTCATTTGACAATAAAAACTGCAAGTATTTAGAGTTTACTGAGGAGCAGCACCGCAGTGCCTGCATACTATAATATACTATAATATATTATAATATTCTATATTTAAAGTTTCATACTAGGGTTTCTGAAACTGAAAAATCTCACGTAACATTACATAATTATCCTGTCAAGTTGATCAGCATACTTCCCAACCTCCAGACATCAGAGCCTGAATTAGGAGAGCAAACCCAATCAGGGTGTTTCCTCAGGTTACACGTGTTACCATTTTTACATTGTGAATTAAACAGTGTGCTGACTCACTGTGACTCAAACGAACTGCAGGCACTCTCTCTCTTTCTCTCTAAACTCTACCGAACTCTGTCACCCTTATGTGCTCTCACGTACCGACATTTGGCACTAATTGCTTTAATGTGAATCTGTACTCGGTAGACAGGACAGAAACACAACCTGCCCCACAATTACACACAGACAGACACAACACTGAGCTGTGGAGATGACATATTGGGGGAAGAGGGATGTGATGTCTGTGTGTTGGTCTGCTGAAGTGTGTGCACACAGGACTTGTAACATGTGCATGTAGCCGAAGTGAACATCAGCATGTAGCCTCCATCACAGCAGCACGCCCGGCTGAGCAAATGCAGTGTGAGTGCGTGCACACTGCGGGGCGTACGGAGGGTAAACAGCAGTGACACAGAGCCAACAATGTCATATGTGATTCCAGTGATAAAGACGGGCGAGAGCGGCCTCACCGTCTTCAGGCTGCTCACCAAGGACAACCGGTGGAAGTGGGTCCAGGCCAACGCCAGGCTCGTTTACAAGAATGGGAAGCCAGACTATATCATCGCCACCCAGAGGCCCCTGGTGTAAGTGGACGACGTTTCCAGCTTGATTTTTGAGTTTTAGCTGATTTATCTGTTCATTTCTTCTCTGTAACATGTATTTCCACAGGGACGAGGAAGGAGGGGAACACCTGAGGAAGAGATCAATGCACCTGCCCTTCACCTTCGCCACCGGAGAGGCGATGCTCTACCAGACCAGTTATCCACTGCATGGCTTCCCTGATTCCTTCCAGGGCAAAGCCAAAGGTAGCAAGTCCAAGAAGGGCAAACTGGACAAGAGCTCTTCAGATGACCTGGACCCAAAGTCCCTGCTGGGGGCGCTGATGAGCCAGGATGAATCCGTGTATGTCTGCCAGCCGGACACGGAGCCCAAGATGTCGTACCACAGCAGCCTTTATAGCGAGCAGCAAGGTGACAGCAGTTCCGGTGGCTTGTTAAGTGGCGACAGCTGGCACATCGTATCGAACGGGGAGACGGGGACATGCAACAGCAAATCCTCTAGTTATGACCCACTGCTGGCCACTTTGGACTCTCTGTCCCTGGATGGAGAAGAAACGTGCTCTAATAGTGAGCTCTTTAGCGCCCTGGAGAACCTTGGTCTAAATGCTGAAGACCTGGAACTGCTGCTGCTGGATGAGCGGATGATCCAGGTAGAGCTGGACCCCAACCACATCCCAACACTTGGTGACCTCCTCACAAACAACGAAATCCTCTCCTACATCCAGGATTCACTGCAGAGTGGGACCGATGGGGAGGAACAAGGAGACAGTGGTGGATTTGAAGCTTCCACTTGTCCACCAAACCCAGACTCAGCCCAAAGCGTCCCCCAGCAGCCACAGGCGTGCCTCACATCTGCTGTCCCACCAGCACTTCCCAGCAGCAGGCAGCCCATCATCCAGCTGTCGCAACAGATGCAGCAACACATCAGCGCAGGCGAGCTGGTGAAAGCTCAACCGGGGCAGATCCAGCCTGTCTCCCAGCCTGGAACAGTCGACACCAAGATTTCAACTGGGATTCCCAACGGTCACTGGGTGCTAACCACAGAGAACCACTGTCACCCCAACAACCACGCCCATCATGATCCCCCACATACTGTACTCAAAGCCCCGCAGATGAACGGCGAACCTCTGAACTCACTTCTGGAATCGAGTCACCAGTGGCAGCTTCAGCAGGACCAGCACTCGGTCCACCTCCGGTCCCACCAGCAGGGAAGCAGCCAGAGCGCTTTGCCGCCTGGCTTCCAGAATCAGCTCGGACTGACAGCTAACGGATCTTACATCTCAAACGGACACACAGCCTTTCCACCGAACGTGGAGGTCGGCCACACGGGTTACAGCATCTCCAGCAGGGCACATCCAGGTGGCGCCGTGCTGAACGGCGTGAGCACACCAGGCGTTTGTCACTACCAGAACTTGGTGTCCACCGCGCGGCCCTACCAGCTGCAGGGTGACCAGAAACACCAGCAGCAGCAGATGTTGCAGCAGACTCAGGTTTTGCCCCAGTGTCCCACCCAGAGCTCTGCACTGGAGTTAGAGCATTTATTGGGTCTGTCCCAGCCACAGCACAGCATGCAGTCATCAGAGACCTACAGCGTGTTCAACGCAGCCACACAGGGCTCCACTCACAGCAAGGTAAGATGCCAACTGGGGTTACAGGATGCAAATAGGGATTTATTGTTAACTTAAATTATTTAAAAAAATTTAGTTTTTTTTAAAGTAAAAAATTGGATAAAACCTCCTTACTGAATATTTATTACGAATTAAAAAATTTGACTTATCTGCTTCATCAGGTCTGTTTGGGTTTGATCAGATCTGCCCTGAGAAGTCATCAGAGTGAGAAGATGGTTGACTAAAATATGCTTTACCTTCTTCAACATGTTGCCATCTTCCGTCTGTCGTCACAACATGTAATTATTGAATCTTCAGTCAGAGAGTTAAATTCAGGGCAGCGGTGATGTGTGTAGGCTTTCCTGCCCTGCAGCAACTTTAATTAAACACAGACGTTGGAGGGTAATGTCCTATTTAAAAGACATCCTCACATAATGCTAGTGCCATGAAAACAGGGCTTATGCTGCAAGGGTAGAAATACTTCCCCCTCCCATAACAGTCAGCCTGAAAATGAACCTCACTAAGACCTTCTGTCCTGTGTCGGCTCTATTCTGTCTCTCTCTTTTCCTTCTTCCCATCTCAAAATGACGAAAGCTGCCAGCTCTCCTCAAAACTGTTTGGTCTGTGAACCCGAGTCTTGATTCCAGCCCACTGACGAGGCCTGAAGTCTTTGTTGCCCTCAAATATCAGTGAACATCAACAAACCGAGGGCTGCAGAATCTACAATCCCAACCCTTCAACGCCGCGCTGTTCTCTTTCACTGTCATGGAAATGGATTTTTTTCCGAGTCAGCACACAGAGGCCTCGGGCCGGCGTGGAGCTCAGTGTAAACTGTGATGATGCGACCAGACATGCCATGTAAATAAGACAAGGGGGAGATTGGTCAGAGCGCCACAGTCTGACAATAGAGTGCACTGGAATCTATCGCAGTAGAGTAAGACAACAACACTGCGTCTGTAGATAACATTAGGCAATGCCTCATTTGCATATTTAAGCATAAAAGCACAAAAAGTAATTGTCATAATGTAAGTTATCAGCTGGGAAAGTTTCATGGCAATATCTATTCTAATCTTAATTAATCTAATCTCAACACATCATATACTTTTCTTTTTTAAATATCTGCTTTTGGTCAGACAAAACAATTAGTACATCCTTTAGGAAGTTGTGATGGGCCCTTTTACAGATTTGTGAGAATATAATCTATAATATATCAGTAATTAGAGTAATCATTAGCTGCTGCCCTAATAAAATGAATGTCTGCTATATAAGCCATTGATGCACTGTTGGAACTCAGTATTAACTCCCAGTAACATTATGTGGGTTGGTTAATGAGACTGTAATGTTCAGGGGAAGCAGGAATTCATCTTTAAAGTCCAACACAAACGTTTTCCAGTAATGACAGAGCAGCAGCGAGGGCTGGGGAATGTCATCCTGAAAACACTCATCAGAGTACAAAGAGGCACGTAGCTGGAGGTCGAGAGAAATTCCCATCGTAAAACATAACGAGGTAATGAGACCTCAACGCTGCCAGATCTGAGCACCTCTGGGTTTCTGCTGCGTTGTTAACTTAGCTGTGAATATACAAACTCTAACAAGCAGGATACAAACATAATAAAGCTTAAGTTATGTGAAAATGTCTGCTGTAGTTTAAACCAACAGAACATCATCCATGTTACATATTTACGACTTATTATTAAGAGGATGATTTGTCTCATAGTAATGAGTAATGGCTCTCTATATATTATATTTTATATATATTAGATATATTCTCCTGTGTTATAGTTATGAGCCATCTGTCTCTTCAAGCATGAAGAGCATCGCTTGTGTTTAGAGTGAAAAACAAACTCATATTTCATTATATCTCCTTTGTTATTGTACGAGAGAATAAAAGGCAAAGAGGCAGTAGTGAGAAAGAGTACAATAATGAATAGAAGAAGGTCGGGATGGGACACGGTCGGCCCCGGAGATGGCCCGACCCCGGCAGGCATCCATTCATCCCCGCCTCATTCAGCCTCCTCTGTTATTCTTCAGGGTCACTGACTGTTGCTGAAAGAAAAATACTGGCAGGCTGGCCAGTCAAGCATGAGCGCTGCTGACCTACAATTTGACTGTCATCATTACCTAATGCTGTGAGCGCAGGACGGGGGGGGGATGCCTCAGAGTCTATACTCAGCACAGATAGAAGCACTGTTGGAGTTAAAGTCCATATGTGAGAGACATATACTGTCCTCTGTATGAAGGTGAATTAGGGAAGGACTGTGGATCAATAATAGAAATACATAAAGACACAGCTAATTACTCATAAACACTTATTATATATAATTATTATTATGTATTAGCATGCTATGCTGATCCTAAATGCTCATCATCAGTTTCACTATGATTTAACTGGTTATTCTAGTGGATGCTCTGTCTGTGTCTCTGTGTCTCCATATCTGCTCACTGAACACCGGCTGCTCAGAGCTTCCTGCCTCACCCCACCTGCTCCCCCAATTATGGCGCCATAGCTACTGTACATACACATACACAGAGGAGTCTGTAAAGGCTCACGTCGCCTGCAAGGTCTTTTTCAGGGCAACATTTTCATTAACGGCAGTTTCATTACAGTTTTTTTGACCTCTTTGTATTTTTAAGTGATTTCTAAATCAAACATCTAACCATAAGAAATTGTGATAAAAATACAACCATACCAGTATTTTCCTTAAAATGTGACCACTTGGTTTTTCAGTTGGAGAACGGACGCCTCCTCAGCGCCACCAACGCGGCGGCGTACATCAGAACGTGTCTGATGCCCAACGGAAATGGAGTGGCGACAGGCGAAATCCCCGTCTCCTGCCCAGACGAACTCCCCGTCCTGCAGGACCCCCAGAAATCTGGATTCTTCCTCTGAAAGGATGATAGCAGAGTATAAGAGGAGGCTGGAAGAGAGAAGGTACAGAAGGAACAGAAGAAAGAAAGAAACTATTCGATACGCCCACATTATTTTTAAACTCTCTTTTCCAGAAAGGACTTCAGGTTCTCTTTGTTTCGACATCACACCAACGAGAGGAAGAAGTTCCTTCATCTGGAACACTGCGTATTATAATATTGCTCGTTGTGCACTCACTGAAATGTTCATTTTTCTGTTTGGATCAATTTACGGGCGTTTCCGCTCCCGAGTCCAAATTCCTCACTATCTGATCTGTATATACACGGTTAAAGTCCTGAAGACGCTGAGCAGCGCCGGTTGCTTTGGTGCGGTCCAAAGGATCTGTTTATGTGTGTAGTCCAGTGCTGACACTGAAATAACTTAAATTCCAGCTCAGACAATCAGTATGTTCATGTTTTAAAGGTCGTAGCGCCGTGTAATAGGACAGAGTCAGCACTGGACTATTCAGTGGATCCTTCTCATTACTCAGCGTTTCTAAAGCAGACTGTACGTTTCCTGCTCTGCAAGTAGCTGTTGGTTATAAGCTTGTTTACGTCTGAAACAATATTCAGTGTATTTAAATGTCAGATTATCGTCAGTGAACCAACCAATGGCTGCCAGGAAAGTATGGAACTACCTTTAAAGACTCTGTATGCTTTAGAAACTGGTCAGCAGTTATGAGAAGATAAATGTGTTGCAGTTAATGAAGAGTTTTAACTTTCTAGCAAGATAAATGTTTGGTGGATTCAAGGACGAGCTGCTTTCATTGGTGAACTCACCACTCCACACGTCTGCTAGCAGTCTGCTTGTTGTTGTTCCTAACGCGGGAATGTCGATGCTTTGTGTTTGTGTGTGAAGAACCGAGGGAACGTTGATACAAACAGCCGTGAGATTTGGACTGAACGCACCAACAGATTCTTTAAACGTCAGTGTTTGTTTGTCGGCTGTGTGTAGAAGACCTGTCGGGGTTTAGTAGATGTCGTTGGTGCTTTATACGTCAACTAAACAGCATTTCATTCTTATAGTTAATATTGTTGAGATGAGATTCAAACGGATGGTAAAAGGTTCAAATCAGAAGGAAAGAGTTATTATTTGTTGCCGCTGCCGCAGAGAAGGAAGCGTCGTTGGTCCTCATGCTGCATTTTAGCCTCTTTGAGGTTTACAATGATGATGTGCACTTAACATGTATGACAGACATAATCAGAAAGGGTCTGATGTGTCTGTCAGTGGCACTGAAATCAAACATAAAAAAGCATTTTTGTTTCCTGACCGGAGACAGTGTGAAAATGTCCCATTAATGCCTTGTCTCGGCGGCCTCGGCCAGTCGGACTCCCTCTTACTTTATCCTGCAGTCGTGCCGTGTGGGGGAACACTGAGTGCACTTACATTCACACAGTTACCCATTAAGGACCTAATTGTAAATAATAGATTACAACTGAAGGCCGAAGAGGAAGCGCATGTAAGTATTTCTCAAGTTTTGTTTCCCTGTGATCACAAAGAAGTGATGTGTGGAAACCTGTCTAAGGTAAAGCCACAGTGGGAACTTCCCAGTTGCTCCGTGATCAGTCGTTTTATTTACAGACTCAAACCAAACCATGCTAGCTCGGCACAAGCTGTGAGTCCCAACAGTTCGTCCTTCCAGGAGACATTCAGCTTCCATTAAATCATAGTTTACCGCCTTCTATCGTAGCATCAGAATAGACACTGTGACAGACGATGCTGTACACGCTGCTCCACTATTTACAGTCTGTGTCTACTCCCCAGACTTCCTCCTGATCTCCACTAAAAACAATCCCAACCTGCTGATGGTGCGTTCATGTCATCTCAGATTAACCGTAAAGAACAGATGCAGCTTCTTACTGGAAATGATTGTGTAATTAACTTAATTAATAATGATCTTATAGAATATGAACCATTGCTGTAGATTAAACATACATCAGATATTAATAGTCAAACACTGACAGGGAACATTTTACTTTATTATTTATTTAGCTTCCATGTTGGGTGTCATTAGTTTCATAAAAATCTATATTATCAGTTTATTTACTTTTATAAAAAGTTGTGCTGTCACTGTTTTTGTCTGATTTTAACCTCTTTACTATATAAACAAGCTCAGTTCTGATATGACATGAACGCAGTGTTACTCACATTTAAAAGACAGAGAGGACGCCGGAGGGTGGACGACAGATTGGACAGAAGTTAGCATTTAGCACCGACTCAAAAACCAAATGAGAAACATGTGAACACACGTGTGTCTGCAGTTGCTCCGTCGTTGAATGTCTTGTGTAAACAGTAAAGGCGTTTGAAACACGAAGCTTTTATTTCACTACAAAAAGGTGCTTAAAAGTGATGAGTCAGCATTGGTAGCGTTAGCTGATGACAAACGTCACGACGACGAAATGCATTTACATTGTTTTGTTTTTGCTATTTTTTTTGTAAACTGACTTTTCTTATAAAACAGATTATTTAAACCAGTTATGAGATCAAATGCTGTATGAAAGATAACAATTATATAAATCATTTTCCAAGGCGCTTTAAAAAAAAAAGGTTGTATGTGTATATAACTGTGTTTTTTAATGGTTTTGTTGCAAGCACTACTTTAAATCACTCTTCTTACAAACTCTTTCTCCTGCACTGAAAGTAGTCTTGTAGAAAAAAAGCATTTTATGACTCCATGTTGTATGAATATTGTGTGTTTTCTCTCTATGTCATGTTTGAAGACGCCTGTTTACACCTGGCATTAGGATCAGATCTCTAAACGCTGTTACCCTACCGCTGAGCGTCTGTCACTGAGCGGCTCTCATCCTTCAGAGGCAGAACATTCAGTTCACAAACAAACAGCCGGCGATATTCGTCCAATCGCCCAACCTTAGTGTGCATCTGTGGTCAGACCACCCCAGGAAGTGGTTTGAGGGATCGGCTCTCAGTGCGTCTCGGTGGTCGTTCACACTGTATTTAGACACATTTTAATACCCGGTGTAAACAGGCTCGTAAGCTCAAAACAAAATGGTGCCATAAGGGTAAGTCAGGCCACTCCCTCGTTCAGTAAATAAAGAGATATAACACTTTACATCAACATCTAAAATCTTTTCCTGACCTTTTAGTATCTTAAAATCCACTTTGTCCACCAGAAAACATTTAAAAGTGATTGTTAATCGTTTCATATTTTTCAAACTCAACGTTGGAACCAAACTCTCCGTAAGCTGTTTCGTCGTGGTTCTTTTATTTCTTTTCTTTTTTTAATGCCACAGACTTTATTTTGCTACTTTTATCACTGAAGGTTGTAGTTGTATGTAAACAAATGTTTTTAAAAAATGCAGTTTGTCTTTGAGCCGTGTGTTGAAATGTGCTCTTGGATCCTGGAAATAAAGGATTTGTGCAATCACACTGAATCGCCTCCTCTTTTCTTCCTGACTGCTGTCATTGTGCTGAAGTCTCCTGTCTTTTCAGAGCCTGACACTCCCTCACCTGCCCACCAGGGGTTCCTGTAGTTCCCCACCACAGCCATCACCTGACCTGCTCACCAGTCCTCCCCGCTGTTGCCCGTTCATTCCCCTATCGACCCTTCAGCCAGTGTGCAGAGTAGCCAGCTTTTGCCTCCTGCTGAGTCAGCGTGTGGGTTTGAACTCTGAGTCAGGAAGAAGTGAGTGAGTAAGAAATAGCTACGGTAAGAAAAGATTAAAAACATGTTAAGATGAGTCGTTAGAATAATGGCTGACACACACTGCGGGTTTATGAAGACATACACACCAGAAGCTTTACAGTCTTTCACCCTCCATCCAGATAATGTGTGGAATCTGACTGTAGTCATCTCCAGGTCTCCAGGTCTCCAGGACTGTAGTCATTTCCAGGTCTCCAGGACTGTAGTCATCTCCAGGTCTCCAGGTCTCCAGGACTGTAGTCATCCTCTCAGGTCTCCAGGACTGTAGTCATCTCCAGGTCTCCAGGGCTCCAGGACTGTAGTCGTCTCCAGGTCTCCAGGTCTCCAGGTCTCCAGGACTGTAGTCATCTCCAGGTCTCCAGGTCTCCAGGACTGTAGTCATCTCCAGGTCTCCAGGACTGTAGTCATCTCCAGGTCTCCAGGACTGTAGTCATCTCCAGGTCTCCAGGTCTCCAGGACTGTAGTCATCTCCAGGTCTCCAGGACTGTAGTCATCTCCAGGTCTCCAGGACTGTAGTCATCTCCAGGTCTCCAGGACTGTAGTCATCTCCAGGTCTGGGTAATTGTGTTTTAAGGTGATTATTCACTAATGAAATGCAATGACATTGCTATGAATATATATAATATATATCTCTCTGCCGACAGAGCCTCCTAAATTAAGGAAAATAATGTGAGTATAGTCTACTTGGTCTTTGTGGACTTTGTGGTAACTTAACATCGAGCTATTAGTCCTCGGATGTCAAATGTGGTCTGAGAGAAGTCTTGAATCTGGAAAAGTATAAACTTGAAATGGTAAATGTGAAGGAAGCCTGGTGTAAAGTTTAACAGAGTGAAAATAAAGTTACAGTCAGTACTCTGGTGGACAGACTGATACCAATCTGTCTGTAACTGTATCGCCATATATCTTTACATTCCTAACCAAACATCAGTAAGAATAAAAACACACACATGAACAAGTATTAGTCGATGTCTCCGGAAGAAAAACCAATGAGGTAAAGTCCAGCCTGAGCTGCATCATGGGACCTCAGAGATTTTACAATCTGAAGTGACGCACGCCACCAACAACCTGAGGATGCTTTTAGCTGCTGTCACTGAACAGTCCCACAACACACACACACACACACACACAGTATTGTCCATTTCCACACCTCCGTTCTTTCGCTTTTTGCACCAGCGGATGTGTGAAGTCGCGCCCGGCCAAAAGCAAACAAACACACTGATACCCGAGGCAAACAAGGATTACTGAGCCATAGCATAAACTATCTCCCCCACAACTTAAACACATTCTGATCTCCAAGTTATTTATATTTATATATTCTATTATAAATATATATATATTTCAGTCCACAAAGAGGGATTCACCGCGTTAAAAATCAAACATCCCTCATCCTGGTGGGCTGACAGAAAAAGAGGTCAAACAGGATCCATTTTGTTTTCTTTGTGCTCTGAAGCTTCTGAGCTGCAGTTCTTCTGAAGTGATTTCTACCTCAAATGTTTCCCCTGAAGCTCAGATTTCTGCATCCTGGAGATCAAAATTCATTCAGAAAACGATCTCACAAATAAAAGCCTGTCTGTTGAGCTGCAGACAGTAAATATCAGCAGCCAGAGAGCTGCACATGAAGGCTTCCTCTCCGAGTGCACAACGCTGTCTGCTGCTGACTTTACATCTTTAATGACCCGCCCAAATCATTTATGAGAGTTTTTCTTCTCCCGCAGTCTTCAGCCGGTTAACTTTGCCTGCTTGTGACGTGATCAATCATCCAAGCAAGATGTTGTGTGTCCCACTTTAGCTTCCTCGGGACGCTGCGTCACATAGCCCGCTGCCACAGGCCCGCCGGCGACGCCCGCTGGGAGAGCTCAGAGCGTGCCCGAGAGCAAGGATGATGTTGTTGTGTTGGTCACTGAGATAACAGCATTGCAAGCTGCACCTAAAAACCACAAAGAAGATGACTCAGTGTTAAAATCTAAAACAACATTTAGATCTAAAATGATCATCACTTCCTCTTCCTGTATTCAGTGTTTTTAAAGTATCTCTGTCCCCAGCCTCAAGTGGAGCCAAATGGAAGACTGCACTGACACCTATTGGTGTTCACTCAGGAAATTGTTAATCCATACAAAGTGCTGAACAGTAAAGAAGGTCCATAAAGCCAATAAAAGATATATATATATAAATATAAATATGTGGAGAACAACCCCACACGGAGCAATAACACAAACAGTTGGTAAAAGCTGATGAGTGGAACAAATAATCCAACCTAAACTGATTCTTTTAGCCTCATAATCAGACTAAATTCCCATTTTGTTTAATTTCCTGTTTGACTGCAACCATTAATCACTATTATTATTATTATTTTTAATAACACCGCTATTAAATTGTAGAACTAGGAACAGTGTAACCTGCAAATATGACCCCGAGAAACACCGAGAATTGGTGTGTGTGCCACCTTTTTGATTGTGTATCATACTACAGAAAACCCTCCTGTGCACAGATTGACTGTGAATGTCCTCTGAGTCCGATATTTAATACCTCCGTCGGGAGTGTCTGTGGTTGCTGCGTGGAGAAGATATGAAATATTTAACAACCACCTATAACCACTTTGCTCTTTTCCCTGATGGAGAATATGGACGCTGCGAGCGAGTGCGGAGCTCCTGACCTGCTTTCAAACTATGTTTAAATTATTTTTTTCTTTAGTTCTGGGAAAATTTCAAATTCACATGAATCTGCTTTTGTTGAACTTTCTTTGCATTGTTTTTCTTTTAGGAAACCTTTGGCTCATATTGAATCATTTAATCTCTCTTAATTAAGTGGAAAACTTTGTCTGCAGAAGTCCTCGACCCTAAAGTGTCAACATCTCATTCGTTCATATGCAGAACTGCAGCAGGAAACACTGATCTCTCTCTCTCTCTCTCTCTCTCTCTCTCTCTCTCTCTCTCTCTCTCTCTCTCTCTCTCTCTGCACACACCCTGTCTCCACCCGTCGAGCTGTCAATGTGCATTACCTCCAGATCAACACACACAGGCTCCTGCACTTCCCCTGCTCTGCTTCCTGCAGAAAGGTAACACACACTCCTTCTCAGTGTTAACACGGACAGGAAAAGGCGACAATAAGGAATAAAGAACTTTATTTGTGCCTGCACTTAACAATGATGTCAATAACAAAAACAAACAATAAGCCCAAACAGGGAAATCGGACATTGATTCCTGAAAAAGACGTTTCTTTCTGCTCACCTTCGGTCCCGGTTGGTCGGTCGCCATCGAGTGACACAGAAACCTCCAGATGGCCGAGCCCAGTGTAAGCTGTCATAAAGGTTTAAACAGAGAGCTAATGGCCGGCGTTAACACGCAGGGAGGCTTTTAGGGAGCAAACACCCCCCCAACCTCCACCTCCCATCAGTGTAACCCAGATCTGAGCTCTGACTGCAGGCTGCTCAAACACACACACAGCTGTAATTAAAGACACATTCATTCACTCACACAGACAGGAGCTGTACGTGAGGGGCCCTTATTCAGCAGTAAAGACTGTAAACACTGAACACATGCTTTATAACACACTGTAATTATATGTCAACAGTTAAAACTTATGTTTATATTATTTCAACTATATTGTTAATACAGCAGTGTCCACTTATGGGACTTATAGTTATATCTGCTTATAGTGTTTCTTATAGTGTCCTGTATGGATGGGGTGGAGCTATGGGGTCACTACGAGGCGAGTCCGTCTGTTTATGAAGAAAAGGTATTTTCCCAGCAGGGAAGTGTGGAGGTGGATTTTATTGCAGATATAAAGAAGAAACTAGTTCTGATTTAAACTGCAAACATAATGTTTAGAAATTAAGATTTCATACAGATGAAAACTGGCAGCAGGAGAACAGGACTGTTTTTGTCCTTTCTGAAGACCAACCAGGACAGTTTACTCTAACAGGGTTCCCACGCGTCCTGGAAAACCTGGAAAACCTGGACATTTAGAGACTAGTAATCCAGTCATGGAAACACCCAGTAATTGATTAAATTGACCAAATATCCTGAAAATAATCCCAAAAGAGAAAAGTCCCATAAATGATGGCCACCGACGTGAGCAGGCCCTGGAAAATGGTTCCTTAAAGAGTGATAGTGGGACAATGCTGACCCAGATACAGACTGCATGTTTCCTGAAAACCTGGTTCTGTAGTTGCAGGTGGTCGAAGTCAACGTGTAGCGAGCTAAAAGGTCACCAAACCTCCAGAGGGTGTGTGTGTGTGTGTGTGTGTGTGTGTGTGTGTGTGTGTCTGTGTGTGTGACCTTTACTGAGTGTCGGTGTTCAGCCTGCAGGCCTCAACCTCAGTGTGACGCTCGGGTCAAAACCACCACAGAGTTCTTGTGTGGATCAGAGGTTAGATGGACAGCTCACCAACCTTAAACAGAAATAATACACTTAAATCTCACTGAGGAGGATACCAAGGTCAGTAACAGCCGGACCTGGACCCAGACCTGGACCCAGACCTGGACCCAGACCCGGTCCTATCCCGACCCAGACCTGTAGCTGCTGACTGTGGTTGGAGAAACCCCCCGGCGCTGTCCGTGGTGCTGAAGTAGAAGACCTTGATTTGTGTAATTGTTCCTTTTCCTCTCGGCCCCACCCTTCTGTCGTCTTGGATCTATAATATTCTGTCAGCCAGTGGTTCCCAATCTGAGGGCTGGGACCCCCACTAGGGCTCGCCAAATGTTCACGGGGGGTCGCGAGGCCTTCTTGATT